GGAGAGAAAGATACCGAGGTTGCAAGGCACAGGAAAGAGGCCAACAAGGGGTCGAGAGCGAATCATAACAGAAGAGATCAAAGAGCGAAGAAGATGGCTAGGGGTGGCTTTCCTGGGTAGGTCAGCTGGGAGTGCATAATATATTAACAAAGCATATAAACGGAGCCTACACATATCCATGAAATCAGCAGCGACACATTTAGAAGTATGATAGAAGTCATATAGCATGAATTGCATCAACTATATCATTCTCATGGTAGTAGTGATTGAGCTCTACATCACCATACACCTAGTATGATAGCCAACCTATGGAATAAACATCCAAATTAATGCCATAATGATGTACATCGTTACCAAGCCCTAAGTTTCCAAACAAAACGCCGCAAATGATCCCACGCCAATTGCTCAATCGTAAAAATGCAGGTATTGTACAAATATAGTACATGTAACTCGCTCGACTGCAATGCAATAGAAATCATCTCGACTAGTCAACTTCCCAACTTCCGCCTACATCAGTACTGCTTGTCGTAGCATTTCTTTTTTCTTTTGAAGGCTTGGGGGTAATACTGATTCCGAAATCATCCTCGTTACAAGGAGCAGCACCATATTCCTGCTCAAAATCCCAGTATACATTTTCACCTTGGTTTGAGAGGAAGCCTCTCCATTCTCCAGCGGCAATCTTAGATGCAATATTGATCATTAGATGAAGTAAATGGCTTGGCGGACTTAACAAGATCTTGGCGGTTGTCTGTAAAATCGCTGTAGGTAGGTGTCTGGTAGTTTGTAGACGTCGTGACCGTCGCCTTCGCGGGGGAGAGAACAGGTTGACAGCGGCAGGTAGGGGGGATAATTGTCGACGACGAGAGTTGCTACTAGTCGTGGCTCGATGCCGGAAGTTAGGTCGAATCGTTGGTGGAGTAATAGCTTCAGGTCGTTCATCGTCGGACTTCTCAGTGGCGTCGTTAATTAGTGTGGGTGTTTTTGGTGGGGGTGAAAGGCTTCTCTCTGTTTCAGATAATATTGTGGATTTCCATACACCAGGTGTCTTTGGGGTTTCGGGTGCTGCAGTCAACTCCGATATGTCTCGTGCATGAGCTCTTTTTGGTAGGATGATCTCGCTATGTGGATAGGGATAGGTTTGGGGAGATGAAGGATCGGAGTTTTGCGGCGAAGGGGGGTCGAGAGGAGAGTGCCAAGATTGAACGGAGTGGAAAGAATCAACGCTGGAAGAGAAGTCGGAATCCGATCTAGTGACTTCAGGCCGTCCTAGGGGTGACTTTGTGCGTTGCTTCGAAGGGGGGCTAGTCACCAAGGAGAGTAATGGCGGAGCTGTAATTGATCTACTACAATTCTGCATTGCAGTTGGCCTGCTATCCGAGTCCGGCTCATAAATCAAAGGTTGGTACGTTGGCTGAAAATGACTTGTTGGGGTGATATTTGTATCGTCTGTGGCATCACTAAAAGTGTCACTTTCCTCTTCCTCCAGCCAGGAGTCACTTTCCAAGATTGGAATTGTGGTTTCAAGCTCTGAGGTTGGTGCTATTTTTACGGTGCTTGTTAGGTCAGCCTTCATCTCATCTTCGAGCGGGAAACGTTCCGCCAAAGATAGTTCAGAAAGGTCCGTGGTCACATCAGTGGTGTGAGAGGGTATAGTAGCATTAGTCATTTGCTGTACTTGGGGCTCTAGGGAAGCAGCTGGAGTTTCTGATGATGGAGCCATTGTCCCGTTATTGTCTCGCTCCGCAGAATTATCCAGTATGGGTGAGTTTCGGTTGCCATCTTCTTGTAGGTATGCTCCCGGCGAGCCTGAGGGCAACCTTCCTGTCGATTGTCTCTCCACCGGCTTCCACGGGCGCTTTTTTATGGGTGTCTTTGGGGCTTCCGGGAGCTCTATAACAAAATCTCGCTGAAAAGGACATGGCGTCTTTTCGAACAGTAACACTTTTGATAGGACCTCTTTCAGTTCCTGTATCCTTGTCTTGTCCTCGGCATTTTCGTTGGGGACTTCGATTCTCCAATAATTAGGACGTCGAATTTGAAGGACAAATTTGCTGTCTCCATCGACACACCCTGTTGGACGTTTAGAATAATACAGTACTGTGATAGCATTGGACTGACATGATTGTGATTTGGGTAAGATTGGTCGTAGAGCGTTTGCACAATTGAGAAAAGCAACAGACTCTGGTGCTCGATATATACGTAATGGACCTGTACAAATAATAATCAGCGTCTGTTCAGCTAGAGATCTCCCTCCTGCATCTCATCACTTTGGAGGAATCTGCCACGGGTTGACATGTGGGTAGTGGTGAAGCTCAATAGAAACCATTGTAAAGGTCCGCCGCAACTGAGCTTCTAGAAATTATTGTTGTGAAATCATCGCAGCTTACCTATAGCTATCGTTCTCTCATACCGTGACACCCAAGGAAGTGTCCCTGGTGCATCTTCTTCCACAGCTGGACTCCCATGGCTCGAGCCAGGTCGATATATTGAGTTTGGTGTAGTGAAAGCGACAATGCGAACGGAAGGCAGATTATACAGGACTTCGATTTGCGGATCTGGAGTAGAAGCAGTCCGGGCCACAGGCTGACTGAAAGACCGAGTGATCATGATTTTTGTGTGTGTGGTGTTTGCTGGAGGTGTCTTGAAACCTGGGACCTGAGACCTACAGTAGGTACCTATCTGTTGCAGCCTCTTGCCGCGGGTGTCCTGCACATGGCAGAGGAAGGCGGCAACATCAATCCTTTATCTGTGATGCTGGCTGTCTACGCGACAGCTGTAAAGAAAGGAGTATTCGCAAAGGAGTACGGTATGGCGGGGGCGGGTATAATTGAGGTTTTGGAGATGCAATGCTATCATTGCCTGGGACGGAGTACCAAGGTACAGTAGTGTACTTACTGTACTGCAATCCAGAAGGCTGGAAGCGACAAGGACCCGACCCACCCGCACGTGGTACAGTACAGTACAAGTACAGTGCCTTCTCATGCCTCCAACATATCAACAAGACACATTAAAAACAACCCTGTAATCAGACATAAGCATGGCCCAAAGACCAATCTTGAGCAAGGAGCGCCAGGAGCAGCTTAAACAGAAACTTCAAGTTTCCAGCTTCCATCCCGATGCGATTCTGAGGGGGGCGCAGCTCACCATAGTTGGTGGTCAGTTACATTTACAGTTACAGTTACAGTATGGCAGCCTCGTCGATCTACTAACACCAATATCTCAGCTCTGAGGGCCCTCCAAAACCCGAAACTCTTCACTTCGGAGCATTACAAGCAAGCTGCTATAGCTGTTGCGGCCGGCATTGCCATCCGACTTCTCATCACGATCCCGGTAAGCATCATCGTCATCATCTTCATCTTCATGTCTTCTTCCAGACCGGGCCAGCGCTGACGTGCGGTGTTGTCCAGATCATTGGCATAAAAGTGCTGCTCTGGTGTCTGTCCTTCATTCTGGACTTTGAACATGCCACTTGGGACAACGATATCGTCAAAGGCCTGGATTTCATCCAGAACTATGTTCTCCAAATTCCATTCTTTCTTATGACTATGATGAGATATGTCACTCCCACGCTTGACAATATGTAAGTTCTCTGACCATACATTTCAGGAAATACTAGCATACTAACAATCCCAGGTTCATGGATTCGTAAGTACTTGTCTCCTGCTTCTGAGTGTGTTACTCATATTTTTCTAGTTTAGCTTGGGTGGATAAGACATACGTGAGCACCCTAAAGACCTTAAGAATTCTCTCCTTTTCTGCTGGAATTTGTAGCGCGTTGGTTCCTCGAATTGTACATGAAGAGATCACTGACTTCTTGGATCTCAGTACGCAAAGCACACGGGAGAAGCCCCGTCCACGTTGCGAGAAGCCTACTATCCCAATCTCCGCATGTATGCCACTAGAGACGGCAGCACGCATACTGTGAGTAAAGCCGAGGCAATCACCATGTTCCTGATGAAATTTGGCAAGAAGGTAAGCATTTCAGTGGATTCCCAGCGATAAGTTATACTCCTTAGCTCTGGTTAGAGGGTGTCACGGAATACGGACTGACGCTCTCCAACTTTCAGGCAGGAGTTTCGCTCACGATCTTTGCTTTGTCTTATATTCCATACATAGGCCGTTTAGTATTGCCAGCGGCTAGTTTTTACACTTTCAATAAAGTCGTAGGACTTGGACCTGCAGCAGTAGTTTTCGGAACAGGGCTGTTCTTACCTCGCAGGTATCTTGTCATATTCTTGCAAAGCTATTTTGCTTCAAGAAGTCTAATGAGAGAACTTCTCGAACCATACTTCTCCCGTATCAAGTTTACAAAGGAGCAGAAGAAGCACTGGTTTCATGACCGAGAGGGTCTGCTCTTTGGCTTCGGCGTTGGATTTTATCTCTTCCTACGAATTCCGCTCCTAGGAGTGTTGATTTACGGGATTGCGGAAGCCAGTACTGCTTATTTGATTACTAGTAAGCAAGCACCATCCTCGGAGCATTTCGTTGCTTTCTTCAGACACGTGCGAGAGTTCGAGTCTCTCCTTACTGTATCGAAAATTTCGAGACACTGATACCACTTTCTTGATTCTGAGACCTGAATTAAGCATATCTGACCCCAAGAACTTGCAGAAGTCACCGATCCTCCACCATCTCCAGCTAGCAGTGAGGGATTTGCTGCCAGTCAGCAAGAGTGGAAGAATAAGCATGAGTTTCTGAGTCTTAAATTTTCAGACCTCGACACCCACACTACAACGCACAATCGCTCACACCAAGAACAAGACAATGGCACAGTCGAGACTCAAGGAAGCTCGTCGGGTTTACCATCTGGAGCCCCACCGGCTTATACGGAGATGAGATCTAGATAGGATAGGTACAGTATCCTGCTGTGTTTTGTACGAGGTAGTCATGGCATGGCATGGCATGGTCTCTTCTTTGGAACGACGGATGGTGACGTCAGAGAGCCGAGGGCTGATGCTGATATGTAGGAGTACCAGTACGACTAACTAAAAACAAATACTTGGGATTGGAATTGGAATTGGAGTTTCAAACGGCCGAAGTTGAAAGTGTGAAGTGTCTATCTATCTGTCTGAATGCACTCGATGATTAATTAGCGGGTGCCATTGGTCCTTAAGCTAGAAACCAAACCCCGCACCGGACGCGATCGTTATCAGCACTACCTCACCTCCTTATCGCCCCCTCCCCTCTCCTCTTACGTTACGTCGATATTATGCTTACTGTACACTTACAACGGCAATCATAATCACATACTAATAGCCACTTATGGTCTTCAATTCTCTCGTCTCTTCTGTTTTACAATACTAAGTATTAAATCTTGTCACCATTTCTAAAATTGGCTCTCATCCTGCAGATTCTTTTACCCAGACCATTCTCTCCGTCTCCTCAGCAATCATGGGCTTGACAGAGATCCGTAAAGTTTGTGAGGTCTCCCTCGATACCCCGGCCGAAGAGCAATCTAAAATTCATAACCGATGGTAAGAATAGCCAGTTCCTTCCTTCATATCTTCCTGAGGTGGACAAGACCCTCACTCCTTTCCCTGATCTCAAAACACCCAATATTTGGACAAGAACTTACTGGTTCCCCCGTCGCCCAGGCATCCCGATATCCCATTCGCGGGAACAATCAAGAACAACGAAACCGTAAAGATTGAATGCGTAAGTTGCTGGTGTACAAACGGGTTAGGTTCGCAACTTACACACCATAGATCGACTGGACGGGTGGGCAAATAGGTAATTCCAAGGCTCGCGTTTAAATCGCGTCACAATCTCACAGCTACCAAGGAAACAATGACAGTGCGGATGATATTAAAAATGTCGACCTCACCCGCATCCATTATCTAAGTGGCCCTTTCGAGATTGAAACGGCAGAGCCTGGTGATGTTTTGCTTGTGGAGATTATGGATGTACAGCCGATGGAGTCCGCCCCATGGGGATTGTGAGTTATTTCCCTTTTAATCTGATTCTTATGCTGATCCATTTAGTACTGGTTTGTCGCCCTTGAATGATGCTACATGCTTCCAAATTGATGAAGATTCCAGGAGTTTTCGACAAGAACAATGGAGGTGGCTTTATGGACGAAATTTACCCCACTGCAGCCAAAGCAATCTGGGACTTTGAAGGAATTTATTGCACCTCGAGGCATATTCCACATGTCAAATTTCCCGGTCTCATCCATCCAGGTATTCTGGGCTGTGCTCCATCAGCAGAAGTCAGCCTCCACACCCACTCTGCAAGAGCACTGCTGAAATATTAGGTGCTTGCCACATGGAACAAGCGTGAAGGCGATCTGATTGCAGCAAATAAGTTGGATAGGATTGTCGCGCAGGTACGTCAGATATTTTCCACTCTGAATTTTTCAGGATTTGGTCGTTTTTTAGACACCATTCAAGCATCGACTACTCCTGAATCATGGTCCCAACTCCAGTGGAATGTTGTTCTAGTTTCCAAAATCTACTATATAAGACAATACTGACCCCGAGGTTTCCATACAGCCTCCTAATCCTCAAAATGTCCATGCGGGAAGTGCCTCTGAGGAGGTAAAGGAAAAAGTTGGCCGCGAGGGTGCGAGGACTATTCCCGGTTTGTGCTTCTACAGATTAGTATGGACTATGGCAAAGTTACTAACTCTTCGACGAAAGGCCGGCCCGAGCACGGCGGCAACTGTGACATCAAGAATTTGAGTAGAGGTAGCAAAATCTATCTCCCGGTCCACGTTTCGGGCGCCAAATTCAGTGTCGGTGATCTTCATTTCAGTCAAGGAGATGGAGAGATTTCCTTCTGTGGGGCTATTGAGATGGCAGGGGTGGTATGTGCAACTTATCCTCCATCCCATTCTCTCTCTGGACCCAACTTATCGGCGTCTTAGATTACTATAAACTTCAAGGTCATGAAGAATGGCATTGCAGATCTGGGAATGAAGTCCCCACTCTATCTTCCCGGGCCGGTCGAGCCACATTACGGACCTGGGCGCTACTTGACGTTTGAAGGCTTTTCCGTCGACCAGCATGGTAAACAACACTATATGGATGTCACGGTTGCTTATAGACAGACGATACTTCGTTGTATCGAATATCTACGCCGATTTGGGTACTCTGACTATCAAGTCTACCTTCTCCTATCATGTGCTCCAGTTCAAGGACATATTGCTGGGATAGTTGACATTCCGAAGTTCGAGACTCCCCTCCCATAAAAAAGAACTTGAATTAATCCTTTGTAGTGCATGCACAACTCTTGGGTTTCCTATTGACATCTTTGACGTACGTTTTCAGGACCCTTTCTTGTTTCTAGCCCAGCATGCTTTGGGAGCCTTGAGGACAAGTGTCCCACGGCCCCTCAAGCATTGTTGCACCCTCCCAAAACCTCACAACAGAAGCAAAGCTAACTCGTCGTTCTTTGCAGTTTGATATTTCTCCAACTGGCCCCGCCACAAAGCTGGATATGGGCAGCTGTGCTTTCGAGACCGGTGTCACCGAAGGCAAAGTTACAAACGGAGGTGCCAACAGCGAGATCTCTTGGGGTACGTCTCTTTTTGAGAGCATTGCAGTTCCCTTTTCTGAACAAGTTCGGTTTATTTTGCTCTCCATCTTTTCAACGTCTCAGAAGTCTCGAGACGTTTTCCCAATTCCCATACACTTCTTAATTGGGCATCGCTGACTCTGGACATGGTAGGTGGAGGGTTGACTTTCAGAGAGAAGTAGTGACTTTACTTGAAGATTCTGATCTTGCCATCTGCATTCAAACCTCCGAAACCTATATTTCTTAGGCCCAATCAGGCTTTAATAGCAATACTTATGATCCCTGCGTCCTGGGTTGTTTGTTATTATAGGATAATAGTCACTATCTTGTTTGCATGAACTACAAATGAAGTACAGGATTTGAGATACAAAATGCTCGTAGCTTCTGTTAGATCAGTTTGGTAGTCCATATTCCTTTTATTTTGAGACATGATCGAAAATCAACTGGGGGGAGGGGGATGGTTAAACGCAATTCATTCATTGTGTTCCTAACTCTACATATTGATTTTGTCCAGGGTGAGATAATGCTGAGAAGACAAGAGAACACTATCTACTATTCATTCCCTTCAATGCACTGACGATCGCCTGAGTGGGTGTTTTGTCACGTAGTTGACGTAGCCTCCTCGGCAAACCATATTTCTTCAAAGCTTGCGAGGAACAAGCTTGACGGAAAGTGGTCCTTTCTCCCAAAGAACAAAAACCTACAACAAATTAGTATGAATTTAGGTTCTTCCAGTTAATAAAACTTACTTTCTGTGAATTCCAATTTTGAGCACTTGGTTGAAGCTCCAAGTCAAAATTCCAAAGTACTCGCGCCAAAATGAGACGCATTTCCGCATATGCAAGACTACCCACGGGACCCGGTCAGTGAAAGCCATAATCGATTGAAAGGAAGGACAACTCACTTCCGGCCAATACAGTTTCTTGGGCCGAAACTGAATGGCTGAAACACCTTTGTGTGATCATTTGCATATCTCGCTGGTGGCTCCTTCATCCAACGTTCCGGTACAAACTTCTCGGGATCCGCGAAGTTTTTAGGGGAGCTATAACTTGCCCACTGATGAACTGACACTACTGTACCCGCGGCCACATATTTGTTGTTGATCACGTTCCCTTGGGATACACGTGGTAGTCCAGAAGGAACCGGAGGATAGGTGCGCAATCCCTCTTCGAGGCAGGCCGTGAAGTACTCAAGTCGCTGAACACCATGAATGTTGATGTCGTCTTCCGTGGCAAATGTGTTACGGACGAGTTCTGTCAAAGTTTTGAGGACTTCGGGAGTGCGTAGAAGGTTATATGTGATTCCAGAGAGGAAAGTCGCGGCTTTGGGAAGTTAGAGAATGGCTATAATTCGGGGGGTAAGCAATACGTACTTGTCTCACTGCCAGCAAGGATGAGAAGTGCTGCATTGCTCTCAATCTCCGCAGTCGTCATTCTGTAATGATTAGCTGAGTCACAGCTGAGGATGTGGGCAAGTCTACCCTTTCTCGTCGTTGTGTCGAAGGATATAACTCATGAAATCAACACGGTCTGTTTCTCCTTGGGCCATCCTAGTCCTTGCTTTCCCCGAGGCAAAGTCATAATCCACCTTCTGAGCTGATTTCAATTCTGGTGGACCCAAGGAATATACTAGTTTATCAAAAGGCCAGGGGAAATGCTTTGAGACTCTCACGAATGTGCCATCCTTGAGGGATCGCCACATATTTGCAATCCAAGGCTGCGAAATAATGAGATCGAAGTGACAACACTGATGGCATTGGACTTACATGAAGATCGTCCGATTCTAAACAGCTAAAATCTTCACCGAAAGCTAGGCTCCCGAGGATATCAAAAGTAGTATAGCTTTTGAAAAGTCAGTCTGTAATTGACACTTGAAGTCTCGAGTATTCAACGAATTTCACTTACTTGTACCACAATACCATATTCAACACGTTTGTTTCGGGGTTTTTCGCCTTTTCTTGTAATCTCGAAATCAACAAGTCAACGTAGCCGTTAATCAGGGGTTCTTGAGCGGAAAGTGCCTTTTCAGAGAACATGTGAGCTTGGATACGTCTCATGCGGCGATGTGTTGGGTCGTCGGCGCTGATTATGCTTGGTGTGCCATTTAATTCTGGTCGCCTTTTCGAGACCTCCTTGGGCAGGTTTCCATTCCCATTGGGAGATCGATGTCCGTAAATGTCTGGAATCACTTCAATACACTATGTTCCGTCTGGTTAATATTTAGGTGCGCTCTTACCAATCCACTAAACGCGTTGTTAGCTACCAAAAGTTTGCATGGGGATTTCGGGCCACGTACTGCCTGTGCGGTGTTATAGGATAGCTCGTCTGGAGCAATTCGGACAACATCCCCATACTTTTCGTGGAGTGAGGTAATATACTGAAGCATGTCCCCATTGAATGTATGATACGCCCAGACCGCTCGAGTAGCCTTTGATAGGAAAGGTCCTGGGTACTCTCGCAGTGGGTGAAAGAAGACGTTATAGACAAACCTCACTCCGAAATACAAGATAGTCTATGAAGGGATGAGGGTCAGGACTGGAAGTTACGGTGTAGTGGGCGACCTACAGAAGCAACTACCAGAACTGGCAGATAGATTAAGTCGACCATTGTTGTGGCCTGTATGTGCCGTGAGTGAATTTGTTGGAGTAGAGTGTTCTCATCTACGCAGGGACGATGAGAGACAAAAAATGGGAGGTCTAAAATTGTTCAAATTGTCTTCGTATCAGTTCGACAGTGTCTTGCAACGCTTATATAGTAAACGCACCTGGTACTGCTAAACTCAAGTTGCATAAGTGCTATCGTTTCCCAGCCACACACCCTCTTTTAATAAGTGTTAAACCACGTAAAGACCCCATTAAAACGTAGGCCATGTTTAACTGAGTGGCTAGATGCCCTTGCAGTTGTCGTAAAATAGATCCAATGTCTATGGCAAGGGTATTTCAAGCCCCTATATACAGCTCCAGATGTAGCAATATCATTTGTCGACTGCCCTTGTATTTACGGTGGCGGAAGGATCATCGACATTTTTAAAGGGGGGGAGGGGTAGTACTACCTTGTTTGATGTCTGCTCCTAACGCAAACAGGTTTTTCCGAATGGTGCTTCACACCGTCGTTTCCACCTTTGAGTCTATGCTATGTCCAACTTTTATGCAACTGAAGCAGTCTTTCCAGCTTCCGATGTCTTTTATGAACGGATATGAATGCCGGTCGTAAAACAAGAGGAGGGGTTCAAACCGCGATCGAGTACAGACAGATAAGTGACTTCTATTTGCTACTGGCTAAATAGGAACTATATGAATGTGCCGGTTGAAGATGGGGTCAGAAGTACTTTGCAAAAGACCTTGCCCACTTCTTGATCCTAGCTACTCGCATGTTTGCAAGGTCTGGCCACTCCTTAGTGTGAATAGATAGAATCCCACACATATGACTGGCTTACTCGGAGTGCGGGACTAAAGCAAGCATCTTAAAGTGAGGCATCTTAATTGGAGCCCTGTCTTTAGTTAATCGGTAATATAAGCTCCTTAATTGGCACGGAGTACATAATTATGGGGTAGATATAGTGGGGAGTATCAAGTTTCAAAAGAAAAAAGCGAGCACAGACAGGCATTTTTACTTATAAAGTAAGAGGCTCATGAAATTTGGTAAAGAAAGCTTGGACCTAGAGACATTCCGACATTGCTTTATCATAAGAACAACAATACAATTCGAAACAGAAGATGCATCTCTACAGATAGATAGGAACAAAGTCATAAAGCTCAAAGCTCAAAGCTCGTTAAGCTTTCCGAGGCATGAGGTACGTAATATCCAAGCTATGAGTAAAGTGCCGGTCACATATGGGCACGGGAGCGACCGCTACTAAGCTTCATAGAGTAAGGTGTGATGGCATCGGCAACGCACGGTCTTCTCCTCCACTTTTCAATTTTCACTGGCCCTACGGAGGCGTACCGCGTATATTGCTGCATAAGTAACACTTGGCCATATACCCCACACCATTCGAAAGTTGCAATGTCCGAATGAGGAAAGAGCGGCCAGAAGGAGCCTAGCTTTTGCATACATGACTTTGCCGAGATGCGAAGCGTTATTTATTACATAGTAGGAGTTGGAAAGAGAAAGTAATAGACGTTTAGAATAATACTATGGTATAACCTAGTAGGTATTAATATAATTAACTTGGTTATTACTTACTTATATACTAAATAGTATATGAAGTAATAAATTTAACTCTATTATACTACAAGCGTGCTACATCATACTGTAGCGGGACTTAGAGAAAATAAAACGCATCTTAGAGTATACGGAGTAGTGTAGTAGGCGCCTAGTAACACTTATGCTTAAATTATTGGCGTAGGTATACCATGCAAGAGGTGGGCTATTTTAGCCGTACCCGACTTAGCCAAGCATAAAGCCGCCGTCCGACATCTATACACTTGTCTTTTGGGGGGAGGAAGAACTGAGATGATTGGGACATCGGTCTCAATGAACCTCCTACTCCATTATAAACTCCTTCGTAGAGAGAAAACCCCGACCCAATGCAGCCCAGTAGTACCCCACATGACCATCCTTGGTCGGTGAGGCCATGGCTATGATCTCTTGCTTGCTCTAGACTCTACGTAGGTAGTTAGATGGGTCAAGTGACGACGCAACTAAAATAGATCTCTTCTTCTGAATGCGGAATTATGGCCGGAAAATTTTGGCAAGGTTATCCCTGTTATTGTGATGGAATTGTTCACCAGAGAACACACGGAGCTGTTGAAACACCTGATCGAGAGGAATATTCATAATTTGCATGCCCTGTATGTCTAATAAACGCCAAATCCTTCTTCCATCTATACCCATCGATGCCTATGTTTTTATTCGCTGCCCAACGGCGCTAGCTATAAAAGCTTTCCTTCTCACTGCTTCGCATTATTGGCAGCACTCGCCTCGGCAGTCAACTTCAGTGCTCGCGGAGCATCGTCCCTTGGAATGTAAAGCTCAACAAACTGGAGAACCTCCGCTGCGTTAAATGCCTCGTCCGCAAAGAGCTGGTTGACTGCAGCCTTCGTCTTGATCTGGAAAGTTTTGTATGAGCCATCCTTGGCACCAAAGACCTTGATAATATCCTTGAAATTCCAGGCTGCGATGTCGTTATACTCGGCATCTACTCCGTGGATGAAGCGTTCGATTGTGAAGCCGTCATTGCATACCACAAATCTGTCGTTGTTAGCTCAGTTAACGTGCGTGCAAGGACGAAGAATTAAATGGGCCCGTACATAGTTACTTTCAGGCCTAGACGTATCATCGTTGATACTTCTTGAGCAGTCAATTGGAATGATCCATCGCCCACGAAGAGAATTGTTCGACGAGAAGTTCCTGCATCCCGCGCTGCCAGAGCCGCACCTTGAGTGGCGCCGACGGAATATCCGATGCTTCCCCACAGAACCTGGGAAAGCGCAGTGACGTTCTTCGGGAATTTAGTCTCCCAAATTCCAAAATTACTAATCGACGTATCAGCATAGTCAGAGGTTGAATTTTGGGACAGAGGCAAAGAGCTTGGGAGCTGTTTCAGGAGCCCATATGCATGCTCCCGAGCCAGCCCCCATATGAAAAATGTGCCTTTCATATGACAATAAGCTTACCTTGTGCAGTCTCAGTAATGACGATGTCATTCTCCTTGAGGAATTGACCGACCCTAGGCCAGAACCAGGCTTGTGTAATAGTGGGTGTGCCATCATCGTTGTTGTCGACTTCGTTTTCGACAGTAGGGCCTGCTACAGCCGATAGCCTGTTAAGATCGATTTTGTTGATGACTTGTCTTAAGACACCACGCATATGCACTCCCGGATATTCCGAGTATCTGACTGTGATGTGTGTACTATGGAAATCGATTGTATTGAGCTGGGATGTCTTGTAGGAGAAGCCAGCTGTGTTGAAGTCGCTCTGGGAAGCGATCAGTTCTGATTAATAAGATAAGGCGGGAGTTGTTTACCTTGATTGCACCGATAGTCAAGATCAGATCTGAAGCTTCGACACGCTTCTTCACATCTGGTTGAGATCCTTCTCCGGCGTACACTCCGCCATAGTTAGAATGTTCCTCATTGACAGCTCCTTTGCCCATCGGCGTGACGAAGACGGGTAAGTTCGTTTTCTCGATCAAATCATGAACTTCATCCAAAACCTGCAGGTCCTCGGTGTTAGCGTTGTTTATCAAGAAGGATTTTGAGGTTTGAGAGCCTTTGGTATCTTGGAATATTGAGACATTGAAACGGGATACTGTAATTCTAAGTGGGCCGAATAAGAAAATGAATCAGGCTTACCCTGTGTCGGATTGCACACGCATCAACCAAGATGATGGGGTTTTTCGCAGCTAATAGGTATTTTAACACCACATCCACGACGTAAGCCTCCCTGTCTGGATCATTTTCTGGTAAGCTTAAATCGATTGGAGTCTTGAGTCGCTCGCCCTCGATCTTCTTTTGAACGACATCGGTAGGAAGACTGAGATAAACTGGTCGGGACTGGATCCAACACTGCTGCAAAGCGTGGTCGATCTGAGAAGCAACCGTGATGGGGTCGTTGAGCTTCTCCATAACGCAAGAGATACCTTGACTCATATCTGAAAAGACATTGAAATTGCCGTTGCCAAGGGTGTGATGTAACAGCATGCCATTTTTCTGTGACGCTGTGGAGGGGGTGCCCACGATGTGAACGACCGGAACATGCTCGGAATATGCACCTTTGAGAGAACTGAAATTAGCATTACCCCTTAAGGAAGCAAAGTGTGAGAGTAAACTTTGACTGCTTGCTAAAGTGGAAAAAGCCTCATTCTCGGACTAACGTACCTGCCATCGCATTTATGGCTGAGAGCTCTCCAACTCCGAATGTGGTCACGATGGCTGTTGTCGCGGGGTTAGTATTGCATGGTACATAATAGCATCTTGAAGAGTGATGCACTTACCTGATATGCCCTTGACTCTGGCATAGCCGTCCGCTGCGTAGCCTAAATAAGTTAGGATGGTGTGCTGGAGCATATAATCCACAACTAACCAGCATTGAGCCTGGGTGATATGACTGTCAGTTTCGTCCCATAAAGAATATCTCGAGTGCAAAAGGGGAAAGTGCTTCTAGTTCGGAAGTGTACATGGATTTAGGGTACATGAGATAGAGCGTAATATCGTAATCTGAGGGAAGGGAGAATCTTACTCATTGACGTTGCCAACCCATTTCAGACCAACTTTAGGGACATAATCAAGTGCTATCAGATTATAATCTATTCACAAGTTAGTATAAGCTTTGACAGGGGTTGGCTGAGGAGAGAAGCGGTTCGCAAGACGGGACCCGAAGTCATATAACAAGACCTCGGCTCCCTACTGAAATGAATGCGAAAGCAAGAGCAGAATTTGACATACCTCCAGGTACGCCATGAATTGAATCTACGCCGATTTGTTGAAGACGGAGGAATAGATACTCGGCTACGTCGATTGGGGACTTGAGGGCAGAGGTTCGGTAGTCGGCCATGGTTTGATCGGGGAGTAAAGAGGTAGGTAGGTAGTAGTTGGGGATATAGTATTGTAGTAGTAGCAGTAGATGTGCTGAGAGGCAGAGGAGAATGGAAAGGATGGCTCGTTGTTGAAATATATATACCTTTTGTCGTTTTCTATTCCGCCGAATTGGCCGCACGGTAAGCCAAAGCTACGCAGAGTCAGGCCATGCACCATCCACTTTAACCTACCTAGTATGACGACGGATATCGCACACGCCACTCAAACAACGTGAATCGAGGGTATGGGTCTGGACTTTGGTATGTTAATGCCACATAATGGGAATGAGCATGGACATGCATAAGCACCAAAAACGCATTAAACTCATTCATCGCCTGATCTTTCTCAGCTTTGCAAATAGTAAGTCCGTCCGATAGATACGGGAAGTGGCTTGACCCTCGAGAAAAAGAGAAGAGAAGAGGCTACTCCTGAATATAAATGCCCGAAAAGCCCCCTGTCCGTCGAATCCGGTGGTATTTTTGGCTTGTTGCAGTTCTCACATGGTACATTGTCTGCATGGATTTTACAGAATATACGCTTTTATACGCGTACTAAGTAATTCCGCCACAGCATCACAGTTTTATCAATTGCTATGTCTGTAGGTTATCTACATCGCAACTTTCTTATTCTTGGAAATGTATATATTGCTCCCGTACTCACACCATATCGTGTGTCGCTCGGCAGGCTTCCGATAAAACAGACAAAGAATCGGATGAAATGGGAGGACGCTACTTGTCTGTGGCTGATGCTTTCGTGATTCGTCGGATACCGTAACCACCACCAACAACAATACTCTTGATACGAATTACTGTATATCCGTAAAAGAGCAACCCCATCATCTGCAAATCCATCTGCATACCGTGCCCGCCTACGCATTGCGATCGCCGCCCCTGTATCCATATTCCCCTCTTCCTCTTCCGTCGCCATCACAATCGAGTCTGCCGCTCGTGTGTCGGATCTCGACTCGCCGTAAGACGAGACGAGACGAGACGAGACGGTAGGCAACGCTCACAGGACGAAAGCTGGTCGGTCTCCTGCGAACGCGAACGCGAACGAGCGAAAAAATCTCCAAGGCGCCGACAGCTTCTCGTCTCTAGAAGATGCATGGGTTACAATGACCAGTTCGCGCCCACGGTCTTCCTCAGCTCGTTCCAACAATTCAGATGTCAACAGACCATCAGCCTCGCCTCGAAGAACCCCGGGTGGCCCTGGACTGACTGTCCCAGACGGTCAAGGGCATGGCCTCTTCCTGAACGACGTTCCTGCATATAACCTTAGTAGCTCTTCAAATCTGCTGGTTCCCATCTACGGCACCGCGTCGCCCTATCCATCCATCACCGCCTCGAGCTCGCCGTTGAGGCCAAGGTCACGATCAGCTGCCGCAGAGCCAATTCCCTCGCCGTTGTTTAGTCCAAACACTCCGTATCAACCGTCGGCACTCCCAATGTATCAACCGGCTCAAGCTCAAAGAGTGGCAGATGCCGCCGCACGGCAATATGTCGTTCCTCCGCCCCCGCCCATGTCACCGCCTGCTCATATGGGCATGTCTGGCATGTCTGGCTTGTCAATACCGCCGCCCCCACCCCGCCCCGTCACAAACCATTCGCATCAGCACCCAGGTGTTATGGTACCGCCTCCTCCAGGTCCTCCCCCAGGAGGATTACAATCCAATTGGCAAGGCAGCTGGGGGAGATCTTACGATTCGAGAGGCTTTCCTCTCCCACCTCCAAACCCGCCCTCAAATACACAACATCAAGCGTACAATCCAGGCCAGTCTTATGTTAATCATCACCCGCCGCCCCTGTCTATACCTCCGCCTCCAGCTTCGGAACACCAGATGTCGGCAACTTATATACCCCACGGTGATTCTTTTGGGCCTGGTGTTGGCATACCTGGTTTTGGTAGACAAGAGCCAAGCTTTAGCAGGGGAGATAGTGCAGAGTAAGGACGATCTCTCCAGTGCTTACTTAACCATTTCTTTGCAATTTCAAACAGTTATGGAACATTATCTTCTTAAACTACGTTATCAGACTCCAAAATGCTAATACTACGTCCTAGATTCTCTGCGGTGTCCGACAGCTCCAGAACATCTAGGAATACTATGGATACAAGCTTGACTACGCCCATGGATGAGCAAACCAGTTGGTATATTGACCGTGAGCGAGACAGACCGTATCAGACGCCATCAACTCGATACCCCAACATTCACCTACCGGAGTACAACTCCTCAGGCCCCCCAACTGCTACTATACTTAATCCTCAAATATCAAACAGGGGACTCCATACAACTCCAAGTTTCAGTCAACACACAACCAGTAGCAATTTTAACACCCCTGTTTCTCCCAATGATGCTGGCTCGCAATGGCCCATGGACCGTGTACTATTGTGGTTAGCCAGTAACCAGTTTTCGGGTGACTGGCAAGAAACCTTCAAAGCGCTCAATATATACGGTTCCGTGTTTTTGGAACTAGGTAGTGGCCATGGAGGAAGGGGAAATTTTGGCATGATGCACCAACAAGTCTACCCTCGACTGGCAAAAGAATGTTCTAACAGCGGCACCGGCTGGGACCAGGCCAGAGAACGCGAAGAAGGAAAGAGAATGCGCCGTTTGATTCGCGGTATCGTCACGGGTCGGGCAGCAGACTTTCCCAAGTCCGCCCATGTCAGGCGAGAATCTTCAACAGCGAACATCCCAAGTGCTGGCACTGAGGGCACTCTTGAATCTTCACCGAACCTCAGCAGAGAGATACATGTATCGACCCCTAGCACTGCAAACCCTGATGATGAGAGTCCTGGAAAACAAACGTTTAAGAGCACGGTGCCGGGTGCTGCAGCACGAAAGGTTTCTATTAGAAGTACAACTTTGCCTATTTTACACAACAACAGCGGTGCTTTAGTGGATTCCGATCATAACCAACAAAGCCGCGGTGCTCACCGGAACGCTCTACGCAATATTGATGGAGATGGTAGCAGAAGACATAGCCCAAGTGCCAGCAGTGACGCCGGCGAAGGCCATTTTAGGGGACCAGCCTTTCGAGTAGACGGTAGTCCCAAGAGCGAAAGCCCAGGAGGCACATTTGCTACCCTGCACTCTGCAACTACCGGAAATCTCCCTGCCTCCCCTCACAGCGCGAAGTTTGGCCACCGCGCTTGCAATAGCACAGAGTCCATATCCTCAAATGCTGCGATATATGGTTCTGGTGTGCCCCCCGGTGCAAGTCAGGCTCTACGAGGTGGGATGGGAGGAGTAGTCGGAGAATTAAATCTCGTTCGAAATCAGGATAACCGCCGACACGGTGTGGACAGCTCCCGGCCTTCCCCATCGGAGCCGGGGGATCGATCTGCGTCTATGGATCCGCCCGGCTCTGCGAAAGAACCAAAAGGCCTTTTCAAACATTTCAGAAAGAAGAAGAAGGAAGATGGGGCGGCTCCATCTCCAGATGAGCCTAATTTGGAGTCTCCTACAAGCCCATCGCTATCATTCAAACCATCCTCTTTTGGATATGGCAGAATCAGCAACTCCAGCGAAACTTCTCTCAATCGGCCTTCCTCAACCTTCTCGGCATCTGAGCATGACCAATTTGTAGGCGGTTATAAGGGTAGACGCAACATTCCGGGTAGAACATTCATTCTTGCGACCTTGGATGGATGGAATTATCGCATGTGCGATGTGTCTGAAATTGATTCCCCTACTGAGCTTCGTAGTGCAATATGCGCCAACTTGGGCATTTATAATATCGAGTTCGCGCAGTTCTTTCTTACTGACCTCGGAAGACTTGTACATGATGAAGCACTCGACGATCAAAAGTTGCTTCTACATAGAAGAACTAAAGCCGACCAGTCTGGAAGCCTGAAACTGTTTATCAGGGCCCCTGCATTCATTCTCGTCCCAACCTGGGCCCCAGTCTGCAGGCCTAGACATGAACTTTGGAAACCAGCTTGGTCTCTCGCCTAGCTTGCCTTTGACTACTCCGCTCGATGAAGACGCTTATGCTACTCTTAATGGGACCAGAAGACGATCGAGTTCTTCGCCGCCAGCCTCCCGACAAAATACAATCAAGGCTACCGCGCCAATCGATCGAGATGCATCAGCTATGGACCAATCCGACGCGCTACGAGATAGACTGAAGCATTTTAAATATCTTCAAGAGAGCGGCGAAAGCCAGCTCCCAGAGTCTGAGAGACAGGCGTTTATGGAATTGGCAGCTAGTGAACATAGGGCGGAGATGGAGCGAAAGCAGAAGGCGTACATGGAACAAAAGAAGGCAAGCAAGCAGACGCAGCCATCTGGTGATGCTTCTTTTGGTATCGTTGGTCGAAATGTTGATTTTGATCAGCCACGAAACTCGCCTTTCGAGGGAGACAAGAAACACGATAGTCTTTTCCCCCAAAGAAGACCTCCCCCGCCGCCAGCCGAATCGGCAACGTTGATCAAAGCCAACTCGTTAAGTAAGAAGACGGGCCAGCAATCGCGCCTTTCTATTACAAGTATCGATAGCAATGGAAATCGCTTCTCGGGAGGTGAACCTGCAGGCTGGACTCCACAAGACATGTCTGAACAGGCTAGGCGGAAACCTGTTCCCAGCTCACCCCAGGCTAGTAGTGGTATTGCTGCTGCACTTATCGGCATGGGCACTCGGCTAGGTGGGGTAGGCCATCCAAGCCCAAACAATCCCTCGGCCTCATCGCCAAGTAAGAGATCACCGCCGGTCAGCAATGACCAAAATGAGCGAGGAAGGAGTGCTATGTCAACCGTGGACTTCGGGACTTCGGGTTCGGGTCGGAGTAGCCCAAGGTCGTCAAGCGGGACCCCGGGAAGCACAACATGGGGAAAGGGAGACACACCTTTCAGTGTTCCAGATTATAGGGAGGAAGGAGGCGTCAGTACTGGGAGACGGGAACGCTCTTTATCACTGAAGATACCCGAGACCTCCTCAGTTGCCAAAATCCGTGAGGGAGATACACGACAAGCACCCTCCCCGTCTGATCTCAGCCCGAATAGTGCTCATGCTAGTGCCGGTATGATGGTACCAGGAAACCGTAAGTCTTATGGGCCCAATCTTGATTTCACAGAATTCAACATTGTTTTTGAGAACTCTCCCAAGCAAGAAGAGCAAATGGACTCCGACGATGACTCCGATGATGGCCTCTTCGCCGTGCCAATAGCATCTCGCAAACTAGCCAAGAAGTCAAGCATGAGAGGGAATCCCACAACTGATTGGAATGTCAATGGCACCGAGCAACGGCCAACCTTGTCCATTAGTACCAGGTCGAAGAAGACACTTTCAGTATCGTTTTCCTCTCCACAACTAAATAGCGCCGCAACTGCGAGCACTTCGAGAACACCCGAATTTGAAGATGAAAGTGCTCGAAGTGGTAAGCGGCCGCTACGACGCACTCCTGCTTCCGCTGAGGGTGGCTGGTCTGCGGAATCCTCAGAGGACATGAATGCGAAACTTCTCCGGCGGGAATCTTTCGCAAGGGAAGATGTTTGGGCGAGTAGACCTCCTGCGGAAGCACTCATCAACCACCTAGACGATTTCTTTCCTAATCTTGACCTGGATCAGCCAGTTCTGGAGGAGGGCGCCAGCGGGTCGCCGCCTGTGTCCCCTATAGCAGAACAAGGAACCTTAGAACAACTTGCAGCTGCTCAGGCAGGAATGACGATCGTTGAACCAACGATCAACACCCTTCGAACCAGCTCATCTTACAACGATGGTGATACTTTAGGTTCTGATGAATCTACTTTGAAGGCTTTAGAAAGACCTGGCTCGATTCAGAGTATCGCTCAAAGAAACGTCCGCCGATCAGGAGGCCTGGGTCGAATGAAGTCAATCCGTGAGGTAGCGAGAGGGGCCCATGAGGCCAATAAGCGGTTTACGGCTCCAGTCCCAAAAGGTGGACCATCAAGCGCAATTCTCCGACGAAAGAGTACCAAGATGTTTGGAGCCAACATTGTTCAGATCAAGCCCCAGCGCGGAAGCATGATCCTGCCGCAAATTCCCCAAGACACAATACCCAAACGACAGGCGACATTCCGATGGTTCAAGGGTCAACTGATCGGCAAAGGTACTTATGGACGTGTGTATCTAGGTATGAATGCCACGACTGGTGAGTTCTTGGCCGTAAAGCAGGTCGAGGTCAGCGCAAAAGCTGCAGGGAACGACAAAGACAAGATGCGCGAGATGGTTGCTGCTCTCGACCAAGAAATCGATACCATGCAGCATCTTGACCACGATAACATAGTCCAATATCTTGGATGTGAGCGGAAGGAAATGTCGATCAGTATCTTCTTAGAGTATATTTCCGGTGGCAGTGTTGGAAGTTGTCTACGAAAGCATGGCAAGTTTGAAGAGACGGTTGTGAGCTCTCTAACACGCCAGACTCTGGCGGGATTGGCTTACCTTCATCGAGAAGGTATTCTACATCGGGATCTGAAGGCAGATAACATTTTACTAGATCTCGACGGAACCTGCAAAATTTCAGACTTTGGTATTTCTAAAAAGACGGACAACATTTACGGCAACGACGCCACAAATTCAATGCAAGGATCTGTCTTCTGGATGGCCCCTGAAGTTGTGCGATCCCAACAAGGCTACTCTGCCAAGGTTGACATCTGGTCTCTTGGATGCGTCGTCTTAGAGATGTTTGCTGGCCGGCGACCCTGGAGCAAGGAAGAAACTGTTGGAGCTATCTATAAGCTTGGAAGTCTGAATGAAGCACCTCCTATTCCGGACGATGTCGCGCTAAACATCAGCCCACTTGCTGTGGCCTTCATGGCTGATTGTTTCACTATGTGAGTATTTCCATTATTTGGGGTGATATGTAGACGGCTAACGAGCAATACAGCGTCCCCTCTGAGCGCCCTACAGCGGACACACTTCTCTCACGTCATCCTTTCTGCAAGCTTGATCCTAATTATAACTTCCTTGATACGGATCTATATGCAAAAATCCGTGGTGCTTACTAGGTTGGGGTTCATTTGGTAACATTATAAAGGCGCTAGGTTCTGGATAATGAAATAACGAAAATGCATTGAGCATGTACTGATATCCTCTTTTCGTCCCCAGGATCTACTTTTAGTCAAAGCTAGCGCTGGCGTGGGAGCGTTCTGGTTTTGGATTCTTTGTATCTGGTGTATCAATCAGGTGGTAAATACTGTAGCAGGGGTTTATTAGTTATTGCTACCTGGCAAAAGGATGGGAATATACATGTATATTATGAACTGTCAAATCAAAACTATACAGCATTTGGATATGATCAAAAAACTAGGGTCAAGTACCTGGCGGTATGTTTATTTACTTACTAGCGGCCGCACCGCGGGGCAATCTACTGGATATTTTATTTATCAGCCTTATCGGCTCGCTTGCAGAAAATCTTGGACGTTTGTTGCACTGGCATCAACTCAACTTTGAAGTCTTCTTCACACTTCAAAGACGCAATACATTTTGAAGTCAATCTTGCATAAGACATTCATCTATACGTACCATACCATGGCCCCATATGAGAGCGACTCCTCTGGGGGTGAAGACAATGACTACACCGAAACCAACGTCCTCCTCGGATACGCATCGAAAGACCCTTCAGACGACACAATCAGCCATCTTGGAGGCAGACCAGTATGTTCATGCTCATGCTCATGCTCGTGTTGAGCCTAGTTTACTATTTCATTTAAACCCTTGAGTCCCAAGTCCCAAGTACGAAGCCAGAGAACTTTCACTGACCACGCGATCTTAGGAATGGCTTGACCCCTCTACCCCGCCATCTGCGGCCCTTGCAAAATGCAAAGTATGCAACGACATCATGGCCCTACTACTTCAATTAAACGGAGATCTACCAGAACATTTCTCGGGGCATGAGAGACGGCTCTATGTATTGACATGCCGGAGGAAAACGTGCAGGCGCAAGGAGGGTAGTATAAGAGTACTGCGGGGAACAAAGATATCTAAAATAGTATCGAAGGAAAAATCTGCCCCAAAAGTAGTATCACCAGCAACGAAGCCTGTTGGAAATACCGGTATTGGAGAGACACTCTTTGGAGCAAAGCCGTCAGCCAATTCAGCATCCGCGAACCCCTTCTCAATCGGCACGTCGAGCCCTTCGAATCCATTTTCCACATCCTCTCACCCACCACAAAACCCTTTTGCAACGACTCCCCTTCCGCCAACTTCCGAATTGGTAGCAGAGCCACCGCAAGAGTCGTCAGGAGATATCAATGCCGACCTCCCAAAAAGCTTTGCCGCGGCACTCTCCTTTAATCCTTCCAAATCCAGCACCTTTGGCCCCCCACCAATCCCGGAACCATGGCCCTCAGAATCGTCTCAGCTACCTGCATATCCTCTTTACTACCTAGTCGATGCCGACTACGAGATCCTGGACAAGGCCGAAGAGGCGCCCATCCCAACTCACACCATGGACTTGGATGACAGCAGTGGAGCAGATGGCGGCAAGGAGGATAAAGAAGTATTCGAGAGTGTTCTTGATAAGACGTTCCAAAAGTTTGCGGATCGATTAGCACAAAATCCCGAACAAGTCATACGGTACGAGTTTAAAGGGTCACCGTTATTGTCTTCAAAGACGGATACCGTTGGCAAGCTGCTTTCATCTTCTGCTGGGAATGAGAAGGTTCGTACAACCGGGGGAAGCGCAAGCGGGATCCCTAGATGTGGAAATTGTGGGATGGGGAGAGTGTTTGAGGTGCAGTTGACCCCACACGCTATCATGGAGCTAGAGAGGGACGAGGATGGTCTTGATGGCATGGAATGGGGCACGATCGTGGTGGGCGTTTGCGAGAATGACTGCGTGCCAAATAGTGTAGGGGCTGGGGAGGTAGGGTATCTAGAAGAGTGGGCAGGAGTGCAGTGGGAAGAGCTTGATACTAGGAGGTAGGACTTGACGTTAGCCCATCTTTTTCAATCAAGACTTCTGAAAGACTTCAATTGGTATAGGGAGCTCTAGTGATTTTAATATATTTCAGGCGTCTATGTTCACTTCCTTTTTTACTGCCTTCATTCCAATAGGTATAGGCTGAACGAACCCCCAAGGCCTTGTTCCATCGAATATGCCCTCTGAACTCCATGCCATAACGCCAAACCAGCCAGTTCCATGCAAATTTTGCTGAAGCATATGAAAATCATGCAGGTTGTTCATAAGCCCTCCTAATAACTCTCGAGAACTGCTCCATCTTGACGTTCTCCCTAACAATGGTACCTTTCGCCTCATTCTCTTTGTTCATTGGCACCTTGACGACAGTTCCTTCAATCCCCCATCCACAGACACCATTCACAAATTTGTTGAACGCCTCGCCTTGCATTCCGAGCCATGATTCCAGCACTGAGCGCTCAATTTCCCTTACAGACTGCGAGATTGTGAGTGCAATTCGAATGCGGATGAGTTCTTCGAAACCGGCCACATCCGCGATCAAATCGGCATAGAGGTCGTCACTATCGAGAGTGCTCCAGAAAGCGGCATAAGAAGCTTGTGCAAGCAGGTTGTTCAAAACGTTGAGCTTCTGCACGGCTTCGGAAAGGGGGGCATCACCGGCAGCTGGGAGAGCTGACGAGGCCGAGGCAGGAGTGAGAATGTGTGGTGGGAGGAGGTGGAGCGCGAGCGAGAAGTCGGGAGATGGGAAGACGGTCAGGGACTTGACGAGGATGTTGGTGATCGTTTCGTCTTTGGTAAGATGTGGGTTGAATTGATATCTAAGCAAACATGCACGTACGTTAGCCAAATCTCTTGGGATAGGAACGTATTCTCAGTTTGTGGAAGATAATTGTCTTTCAGATAGAGCTAATATTTAAACTTCAAAGGCTGGAGGGATTCATTCTCCATGCCCATTCAGGTAATAGGAAACGTTTGAAAAAAACGGTCATCACTTGACATGATTGCAAGACTCCGGATTGGTAAAATCACTCACAGCTTCAACAGTGCCAGATTGGCGTAGCAATCATATGTCCGCTCGTCACACTGGGCGGTAACGTATTCCTGGAAGATGTTTGTGGTCTCGGGGTTGTATCTGTTGAGACCGTTGAGAATGGCATCGATATGCTCGGGCCTTTCAGGCGCATAGTCAAAAGGTACGCCCATCTTTGGATGTTGTTGTGGTATTAGGTGGAATGGAAGGGATGCGATGGGATGCGATAGGATGCGCTCCAAAGCAGAAGCAGCAAGAAGTGAGAAAAGTTGGTGAGCATGGTGTCGGTTGTGGTGGGTTTAGCGAGTGGGATGACTAATCAAATAAATAGGATCTGGTGGATACCCGGCCCGGCCAGGTTCAGGTTCTCTCACTCATTATCCATTTTCAACCTCATCTCATTCTTTCAAATCTTCATAGCATTATTATAACCATTTATGATCTCGACAATGTCATATCTATATCCCCAAGCCTCTACAATACTCGCATTCACAAAGGCATTAAACACGTGCGCACTCACTTGGAACCATTTTCTCCGGTACCATAACCGCGTAAGGCGACTGCATAGCAACAGTACCTATCCCTAGCAGCCTTCGTGGTAAGCAAAGCGGCCATGATTCTATGCAAGTCACCAGGATACATCTGCGCTTCCATATACCCCTCTCGACCATCTGTTAAGCATCCATCGAAATAGGAGTACTTCGGAGCCATTCCATAATACCTTCCAGTAATCAATTTCCCAATCACAGCCATATCGTGCATGGACCGCAAACCATAGTTCTCTACAAGCAGCCAATTAGCCTTCCCATTGCTCGTGATGGCCGCCGGCAATATATCGAAGAACTCCCCTAGATTACCACCATCCGTTGACCCCGCGGAGTACCCTCCTTGAAGCGCAGGAGCAAGCCCAAGTAAATCCAACCCGACCGAGAATCCACCACCCCGGTGCCCTGAAAGCGTCTATTCCAGCCTGAAGTCGGCAGCCAGATGGTATTCGTCACGGTATCGTTATCGCCGGGGTGTGTCAATACCACGGTTCTATTGCAGAAGCTCAAATCCGCAATTGGGTTGAGAAGGACGGGGGGTAAGGCAGTGATGGTGTAGTTGGAGACAATTGTGCCAGTGATGGAGAGGACGTCGGCGCCCAAAACGTCGATATCGGTGATAAGAGGAGCAGGGCATGCCAATATATTAGACAGATGACAAAAAGGCGAGGATGAGATGAGAGCTGACTTGACTAGGTTGGACATGCTGAAGAGGACTTGGAATGTGCGCGGAGTGTGCTGGGAATGGAATTGGAACTGGTGGCTGGTATCTGTATAGGCAAAGTATGCTTATACTTTTCATCAATGGTCCCTTTATTCCTAGTCTCTGGCCTCAATCTTGGAGAGGGTGGCATCGCGCAACAGAGGGCACGGGCCCAAACAAATTGCTAGGGCTTTTGTAAAACTACAAGGAATTTGGTATAGCACGGATTCTTGATTACATTGCCGGCCTTTGAAAATGTTGTACAGAATACCTAGGTAGATTATGTGAAAGCAAGGCCGCAAGGGGCAAAAGGGTGATTTGCCAGGCCGCTAAACCTCGGCTACTCTGTGATGCGATTGGCTAAGACCACTCCACTTACCCCCTTTTCTCGGCTAACAACAAGAATTACTCGCGCCATTAATTGTTCTCCGTTTCTCACTACACTTTCATTGTCCTGTCGCTTGGATAACCACTTCATTCAATGGCTTACAATGGTTTCTGAGTGGGCTCTGAGTATCCAAGCTCATCTGGGCCAATCGGGTCCAACAAGTACGCACAACGTAGCTATTTCAAGAGCAAGACAGGATGCGTGCAATGCAAGTGAGTCGACTGCTTACGGTGAAACTCACTCTTGCGGAAGCTATAGCACCTAGTTGAAATATGCTCCTATCAAAATTACACCCCTTATCACCCCTCCCAAAGCACCCCTGATTCATACCAACAGGAGTGATACTGACTCGATGGTTTTTACATTAGACAGAGGAAAATCAAGGTATGACATCGACATCCCCTTGTTTTCATGGATCTACATTCAACAAGGGGATGTATGGTATTGCCGTGTGGTAGTCTTTCACCCCGTTTATCAGCTGGTTCCATACCCCCCAACCTCCCGGTACAATCAATCTATTAGTCCTATAGAGGAACTATATCGTACTGTTCTCTTTCTACTAGTCGTCATTTCACTCCAATCCTCACCGCACTGTGCGGATGCGCCAAGCTACCGCACAGGTGACACCTCGCCGCTCCGCTCACCCTCGCTTCACCTCAACCGCCAGAACTTCACCCATCCTCACCGGCCTCCATTGTACGCTCCCTGCAACACCGTAGGATTAGGGGCCCAGGGCTATCTATAAGAGGAATCTTATTTTTCCCCTTATGGTTTTTAGCTTCTTATAAGTATAGCACTTTGTTTATAACTCCCTGGCTTAGCACGTCCTTATACCCTTCGGGAGGTCCCACAGAACGAAAATGATAATTATCATCATTATTATTATATATAAGAGGAGAGATTCCGGCACGTAGATGCTCTTCACGCACTTCTTATTAGTTATACTTGAACCATAGCTTTGAGTTATTCGAGGTTTGGCCTCTTACACACAGAAGCATTTGAATATTCGCAAACTTTTAAGTGATATAAAGTGTATAGTATTCCTGATAACTAAGAGGCTGTACGAGGATCTGAATAATCTGCTGAGAGCATTCGAATATCAATACGTACGTGCCAAACTACTAGTCCAATCGGGAAGCACGTGAACAGACGTCGTAGGCTAATCCCATGACACTGATATGTCTTCGACATAAATGAAGCAATCTCTCGCAAGACGTCTGCATCAGATGTATACGTATCATCGAAGCCGGGTGTGTTAATGAGATGGATGTCTCTATAGTCTGTTATATATACCGATTATATTTTAAACATCTTTAATAACATTATTTAAACTTAGCAGCACATTTCCCTCGTGGTGATATATTCTAGCACTTGCTATTTATACTTAATTACGTTGCCTTATCGTTACAGATGTCGTAAGTATACTAGAACCCAAGTCCATCTCCCCAATGGTTAGACCCAGACCCCCTGGAGTAAAGACGCGCTTGAATATTTGTTCTAGGCAGCCGAGGTATCGAACCGCCTTATCCTCCGGGAAAAAGCTGGGGTCAATCGCCATGATAAGATCTACCCCAGCATTACCAGACCGGAGGCAAAAGTTCATGAACATGGCGTCCACGAACCGCTGGACCGGTTCAACGCGGCTTCTGAACATTCCGAGGTGTTTCGTTGCTGCTTCCTCGTAATCATCGGCAGGATGGACGACGACGGTGGGGGCAGATGCGAGCAACCGATGCATCTTATCGCCGAGTCGGACCAAGTGCTGTATACTCGTAGCTTCGTCTATTCGCTTCTGCATTAATTCCACGTTCTTCCGGAAAGTCGAGTCACGGTCGATCCTGTTGGCCAAGGGGGCTGTAGTGCTTACAGGCCCCATGAGCTTGTCTATTCCCGTGAACGCGGCATCTCTACCACCCAAGAGAACATTGAACAGGAAATGGTCATATTCTTCGACGTGTGCTGCAGCTATTGCCCAAGCTGTGAGCAGTACGGTTGAGTAGGATAGTTCGGATGGGAGAGTTCCCGGCCAGTCGACAGCGAGGGACAAAACCCGAGTGCTACCTGGGACCTTTGTGCCGTCCAAGGTGAAGTAACTCCAGAATTTTGTCGTCTCCAGTTCCCTGACAAGCGCGGAACCAGCTTCGTCCTTTTCCAATTCGTAGACGTACTCGATGAACCTGTTGTACTGCGGTCGTTCCGGAGGCTTATCATTGTGGTTATACACGTAGTCGATCTCTTCCAACAGCAACTTTCGACTCCAGCCATCAAACACAACGTGGGCGCTTGACCAGACCAGCCATTGATCCTGAGTATCTTTGCCATGCACAATGCTGAATCGTGATAGCTGTTGTCCGAGACCCCACGATACCCTTCGATCCTCGGAAACGAGCGACGATAGGGCCTCAACGTGGCGACAAGCAAAGTCTTCTTTCAGTACCACCTGGACTAATTGTGATGATACTGAGATGATTCGAGTCCGCAGAAGTGCGTTTGCCTTGATAACACGCCGCAAAGCAGTCTCAAGTCTGACCAGGTCAATGTTGACCGGTAGTTGCATTATGTGCCGGTGAGTAGTACCTCCTGGCGAGATCATCTCTCCTTCCATGTAGCGTTGCTGCTGTCTTGTGGTGGGATATGCATCTTCGACGTCTTGTTCCTCGATATCGTGAGCCTCAAGGCTCTTCCTCAGTTGGTAGACACTGCGATCAATTTTGCCCAGTAAGCCGAAACTGGGTGGCCCTGATGTTTTGAACTCCTTCAGGGGTACCACCTGAGCAGCCATTGACGATAAGACTGGATTTTTGAATATCATTTGTGCCGTGAGATTGTGACCGAGGGTCCGGGCCGCAGACGCCAGCTTGATTGCCGCCAACGAATTGCCACCAAGCTCGAAGAAGTGGGAATTGGCCCCGAACTGCTCACCGTTCAATCCAAGAAGCTTTTGCCACAAATTATGCAACACATTTTCTGTTTCCGAAGCAGGTGGCCGGACTGAGCTTTGTCCAGAAAGAATCAGGTGAGGCCCAAGGCGCTGTCGCGCAGTGAAAGCTTTAAGCGCACGGCGGTCCGTCTTGCCATTCGCTGTAAGAGGGATACTCGTCACTGCCAAGAATACGGAGGGTATCATATATTTCGGCAGAGTGGTGCTGATTTGGCGAATCATGTGTTCCTTCATACCCGCTAGGTGCTGCTGTCGTACGCGGTCGATTTCAATTTCACCTCCCTGATACTCTCTTTTCTCCGCCAGGTAAGCGACGAGAATGTCGGAATCCTGACCCTCAAATCTTGCGATATCGACAATCACTTGAAGTTGCGCATCGTAGAGGGATTCCTGGATACGTTGCCGCACCTCCTCACCCTCAAGCCGCTGGCCATGTAGCTTCAATTGCATATCCCCACGCCCAATGTACACGATGCTGCCATCTTCAATGTACTTGACAAGATCGCCCGTCTTGTATATCCGCGTTGTTTGGCCGTCCCGGAAGTCTTGCAACCACGGTGGACTGAGAATGAACTTGTCTTCATTAGCTTTGGGGCGGTTCAGATAACCGGTTGCTAGATGTGGACTCTCGATGACAAGTTCCCCCACTGCCCCAAGAGGAGTGAGACGATTATGATTCTCGGGCCTCACAACCCATAGGCTGGTTCCAGCACTGTAGCCAATATTCTTAGGGTCGTTACGTGACAAGTTGCAGTTGATAGCGCACTTGACGGAACACTCGCTCGGCCCGTATCCATTCATGAGTTGTACGATGCCATCCCATTTGTCCACTAGAGGCTGGTCCGGAGCCTCTCCTGAGAGCAGCAGTATCTTGAGATCCGGCAATTCGTCCTGCTTCAGTGTATAGGCCACGGATGGGGTGATGTTGGCAAAGTTGACTCGTGCGGTTTTCATAAAAGCACTGATGTCACCCGTGATATCCTCGTCTGATGCTACACAGATACAGCCTCCGAACATGAGGGTGGTCAATATATCCTCGATGCTCGGGTCGAAGGCGTATGGTGCGAATTGCAACACGCGAGATTCAGGCCCACGTTGGAGCAAAGGCGCACGAGCCATTGCGCCAGTGGCAAAGCTCTTGTGTCGTACTCCAAAGATTTTGGGGTTCCCTGTAGTTCCTGATGTTGAAAGAATGTAAAGCAGGCTGTCCGGAGTTACAGCCTTGACATGGACCTGAGCAGCAGGTGTGAAAAGGTAAGCTGTGTCGCCAGAAACAGCAATAGTCCGCCATGGTGGATTGTGAAAGGCTCTCTGTTGCAGTGAAGAGCAGAGGACGATTTTGATACCGGCATCACTGGCAATACCTTCCAGACGTGCTAGCGGATACGTCGGTGACAGTGGCGCGAAGGATGCGCCTGCTTTGATGACGGCCAAGATACTCACTATCGCCCACTGTGACTTCTCGAAAAGAACACCCACAGTGTTGCCTGGTTTCACACCGGATCGGATCATCTCTCCCGCTACGCCATCAGAAAGCCTATCTAAGGTTGCGTAATCCATCATGCCATCTCTAGAATAGATTGCCGGCGAAGCTCGGGAGTGCTTTGCTCGCTCTCGGATCAACTCATGAACGCAAATCTCGTAAGCTTTGTGATGCCTAAAGTTCCACCCAAACATGGCCGACTTGTCAGCTTTGCTTGTGAGGTCCAGCTCGCCAATTTTAGTGTCTCTAGGCACTGTATTAAGTTCTTGGAATATCTGCTCAAATTGTTCCAGAATTCTTTGGACCTGCGGCGGCGAAATTACATCGCTGTCGAATGTGGCAACTATCTCGATCTGAGACTTTCTGGGCATAAGTGTAAGTACCAAAGGGTATTCGTGTAGGGATCTCTCGACTTCATTGAGCCTGATATCTTGGTCCTCTGAGCCATCCGCGACTTGGACAATCAAGAGGGTACGGAACGAGGCGGCATTCTGGACATCTTGATTTATGCCTAGGATTTGAGAGAAGCCAAACTGTTCATAAGATATCATGGTTGAAAGCTGTTCTTGGAGATCTTCTAAGAAGCCGAGAACGGTTTGATTGAGGTCAATTCTCACCCTAATTGGCAAAGTTGTGATGGTGGGCCCAACAACATCCTGCAGTTTAGGGGGCAGGGAATTGCGTCCGTGAAGGGAGTTTCCGAATGTCACGTCATCTGAACCCTCGTATTCTGAAAGGAGTAGAGCCCATGATGCTCTGGCCAGGATCGTCATAGTTGTGGTGGCTACTATTGGAGCCGCCATGGTGTGCTGCAAGCAACATCTGTCTGCTGCCAGGTGCCCGGCCTTTGGGAAATTTGGAAATGACGGTGTTGGAGCATTCTTGAGCTGTTCTCTCCAGAAGGAACTACATTCATCTCGGTTCAAACCCTCGCAAAACTGCACAAATTCTTGGAAGCTCCCTGTTGCCTTCACGTTCTCTGTGTAGGAATAATAATTATGGCGAATATGATCGACCACGGAACCCAAGCTCCAACCGTCAAATACTGCGTGATGAAGCGTCCAAACAAAATGAGACTGACCGGATGACGGGTCCTGGACGTGGTAATGCCTATTGAGAGGCTGACCAGGCTGAAAAGAGACAGCTTTGTCTGCAGCCAGAAATGATGTAAGATCTTGCCTGACCTCAATCCACTCCGCTTGATGGCGTAGAATCACCTGCACGAGGCTGGTAGAAGATGGCACGATTGCTGTCCTCAGGATTGGGAAGGTAGCAATCGCACTCTCCCATGCGGCTTTGAACTTTTGGACATCCACAGCAGCCGAGAAATTGAATACAAACTGGCTCGAATACAAGGACGGCAGCGCCAGCGAAAGCGAAAACAACCCTGCTTGGAGAGCCGTGCAAGGGAAAATACCCACGACCTCCTCATGATTAATGCCGTATTCATCTAACAGGGACTGGAACTCAGATAGATCGTCTTGTGTAGGCATGAACGAGGCGGGGATGACGCCTAGGTAGGATTCATCATCCGCAGCAGGAGGAGGCACTTCCTGCATCGCCGCGGCCATTCCAGATATTGTAGGATTCCTAAACACCCTTTCCATGGTCAAATGATAACCTTCCTTGTTGGCCAATGTTACCAGTTTCATAGACCGCAGTGAGTCCCCGCCAAGTCGGAAAAAGTGCGCGTCTGGCGTGAGACTCTGAGTAGCAAATTGAAGAATCTGTCTCCAGATCCTGGCCAGTACCAATTCGATAGGCGACAGGCTATCCTCGTCCACATCACCTATTCGCAGATTGGAATAATAGTCCTTCCCAAGGCGTAGGAGCATGCGGCGGTCAAGTTTACCTGAGGGAGTCAGGGGGAGTTCCTTCAGGGGTATCCATACAACGGGCCACATGTAGGAGGGAAGCTCTTCTGAGATGCGTGCACGAAGTCCTTCGACCTCTAGCGCCATCTTTTCGGCCATGTCTGCTGTGTCACCATTAGGATCTCGTTCGGGTGGGCCCTGGACAGTGGGGACATGAAGAAAAGCTACCAGGTTGTTATTGCCGTGTATATCAAGCACTTCAAGGACTATATGCGCCCCAGGGAGTCGAGTGTGCCGTTGAAGCCGGGTCTCGATGTCTTCCAGCTCTATCCGTTGGCCATGAAGTTTGATTTGGCGGTCACGTCGACCTACGAAAATAATTTCACCATCGGCGGTGAGTTGAGCCATGTCACCAGTTCGATAGCATCGCCCCATTGAGGTCAAACTCGAATCCCAGTCCTTTGCCCACGGTGGGGCATCAAGGAACAACTCTTTACTGTCCGATTGATTGTTGATGTAATTCCGTGCAACTCCCGGGCCTTCCACTACTAGTTCCCCTATAGCTCCTATAGGAGCAAGCTTATTCGGGTTATCCAGGAGCGTAATCCAAATACGGCAGTTCACAGGAAGCCCGATTCTTATAGCATCATCGACCGCAGGGAGGGCTTTCTTGGCCACGCATGCCACTGTGATTTCCGCAGGCCCGTAGGCAACAATTAACTCAACTGTACGCCCCCACAACCCCACGATATCTTGCGTTACCCGCTCTCCGCCAGAAAGCAGTGTTGTCAGGCACGGGACGTCTGACGGTGACAGTAATCGCACAACAGTAGGTGTGAGCAAAGCCGTGTTAGCATCGAGGGCGCATATTGACTCTGCTAGGTTATTCAGACGATCTGCATCAGAAGGAATGCAGACGCAGCCGCCGCTGAGCAACGTCATGAGCATCTCTCCGTACGCGGCATCGAATGCGTAAGACGAAAATTGGAACCATCGAGTTCGACTACTTATTCCGGAGAGCTTGGCCAAAGCCAACAGACTGGAACAAATTGACTGGTGTTCGATTTGAATCCCTTTTGGCGTGCCCGTAGATCCCGAAGTAAAGACGACAACTGCAACAATGGAGGGACTGACTTCATTCTGATGACGCTCGTTTCCTGCACGAGGCTGCAATGATAAATCGGATACCTCAATAACTCGGGGTGCCAGATTAGTTGCTCTGTCTTTTTGAGCAGATGAGCTAAGTACAACGGCGGCCTTGACTTCGTTCGATAGTGTCTGTAGTCGACTGGTGGGGTGTGAGACATCCATGAGCAGGAAGGAACACCCACTCTTCAGGACGCCTAGCATCGCCACGACGGTCCAGAGCGTTTTTTCGAAACAAAGAGGGATGCAATCCCCCGAACGGACTCCCGCCTCAAGCAATAGTAAGGATAGATGCGAGGACAGGGAGTCAAGCTCCACGTATGTAAGCCTGCCATCCCAAGAATCCACAGCCTGTGACCCTGGGCTCTCAAGCACTCTCTGTCCGAATACTTCGTGGACTGTAGATACTACAGTCGAAGGTGGGTGCTGATTCCATCGCTGCAGGTCTCGCTGGTCCAGATCACAGATCAAGTCTATGTCCCGCAGTGCCTGCCCGTCAGTCGTCGCAGCCAGCAATTGTCTGGTAAGGTGAATCAGTTGACAAAGAAACCTTGTATTAGCGGGAGAGCTCTCTCCGCTGATCTCCAGTTCCAGCGAACGCGATGCTTGTGATTCTCTCACCGTGCAGCGGATCTCACGTGGGATAGCAGAACTTTGTGAATCGGAAGCCTTCTCAATGGAAGTTCCCCAGTTCTTGGAGCTGTCTGTACGCAAACAGAAGGTTTGCAATGCGATCAGACATGCGGTTTTGTGCTGATAGCCTTTCTCGATGCTCCCGAGAAAGTCGTGCGCACTGCAGTCTGGATCAACTGCAATGCTGGCATCCCACAGTTTCCCAGGCGTACTGGTACATGTGTGAAATAAGGATGTTGGTGTCCGTAGGTAGACAGAGAGAAGGAACCCCAAACTGCCAGAGATTGCCACCACTGGGGCCCATTCATCGGTCTCAAACTGAATCTCCTCTCGGACTTTGGTTTCCATGTTGGACACAATCTCCCTGATCTCGACTGGTCCTGTGACTTTGGTGAACGGCTCTGGATGTAAACAACTATGAAAACTGTAGAAGTACGTAGGTAGATTTTCTAAGTAGCAAACAGATTGGAAGTAATATATGTCTAGGACTCTTAGTATTATACTCAAGGTCTGGGCCGGAACAAAAAACAAAAAAAAAGAAACGAAAAAAGGCCGTCAACGTGCGAAGAGACGAACACACGCCTTGGTGGCACAGTCTCATCCTCCATGTCCCCGGAACCTCTTTCGCCTCAACATGACGATACTATGTCATCCGTAGAGGAGCATAAGGTATTAGAGTGAGAGGCCAGTAGTCAAGTTCGCTGGCAAGGGTTTGCCGAGCTTACCTTGTCCGAGCGAGCCGCCCCGTTGCCGCGCGCCAGCCGACCAAAGAGCGGGCTGAAGAACACTACACTGCAGCTGCTATCTTGTTCCCTGCTCAATGCTCATGGATGCTCCTCGATTACTCCGTAAATACGCACCTACCCTAGGTAAGGTAAGTACGGCATGTAAAGACCTAATATTCGGCTAGAACATACCCCGGTTACCTTATCTTTGAAAGATTCCGCGAGAAAGACTGGCCTTCACTCTGACCAAAGACGCATGCACCCACGATGTTGACCAATGTACTTGTCGAACCAGTTAATAGTCCTGATGACTTCCCTCAGATTTACCACTGCTTCAGCGAAGCTTTTGGTCGCCAAAGACAAAGCTCGCTTTGGATAACCATGAATCCGAACTGGAACTCCACGGAAGGCCAGAGAGAAGGCGCCTTGAGACTCCTTGAGCGCTGGCAATCCATAACCAAGAATAAAGATGGTCATGCTAATACCGTCATCTTGAAAGCGACACTGCGGGATCCAGAAGACGGTTTCAAGCTCAAAATCGTCGGCGCGGCCATCTGGGCTCAATTTTCCTTCGTAGACGGGTACGGCAACCCGCCGACGGTCATCCATCCTAACATCGCGGCTTTGACCCCAACCGAGAGGTGTTTCGCGAGCCAGGTGTACCGCTCGTTGTGGGGACGCCGTGTTTCCCTCGCTCAGGAAAAAGCGGAATCGGACTCCCCAGCTATATTTACACTTGATATTTGTGCTGTCGACCCAGCTTTTCAGCGAAGAGGTGTTGGGGGAAAGCTGGTGGCATGGGGCCTCGAGGAGGCAAAGCGGAGGGGTGATCTAGAGTGCACGACTGAGGCGTCACTTATGGGGCAGGTTATGTACAAGAGGCTTGGGTTTGGAGCGGAGGGTGCGGGAGAGAATATTGCATGTGAGGTGGATGAAGAATTCAGGGATCGCAACAAGCCAGAGACTTTGTTTATGCGTACTTGGGTTGGCCAGAAAAATCCTCATTGATAGTGTTGAGCTGCATGAGGACCGAGGTGGGCATGCATCGCTACTAGATGAAATGTTGATGAATTGAACCAGGCAGACAAACTACTGAAGCACTGCCCAGAGCAGACGGACATGACAAATGATGAGGACTAGTTCAAGATGCTTCAAGCGCTATGATGAGTCAGACACGACCTGTAATGCTATTCAATGGTGCTGATGCAACACCGTGCTGGATTGATCCTCAATCGACCTCTAGGAGCGCATTCTAGGTTGTTGGGAGACATGCACGAATCAGCTCACGGGCATTACAGCTTGGAACGAGTTTGGGTCGAGCAGAAGAACACTGATCTAGCACAACCTCTATACTCTATAAGCAGGGCTTGTTCATCTACGTTCACAACACAACGGCCGTTCCTAAACAAGTAGGGGGCTTATTGTAACGTGGGCTCTCGGGTGGTTCTCCGTCTGAGTACAAATTGGGTTGGTTGAGTAGGCAGGGACGCAGTCACTGATCAAGGAAGGTTGTTGACTTGTATGTTACTACGTATGTATGAAGATACTGTGTTTGAGTTTAGCACGAAGCTGCTATCTAATGAAATACCGACTACGTTATATACAAGCTTCCTGCTTACGCCAAGACCTGTATCCTTTGTATCCTCAGTATTCTCATGAAGGAGACCAAGTGTTGATGAGTTTAGACTCTCGGTAGGACTCTTGGCTTATTCCGATTAATAACTTGTTATCAAGAGGTTTAGAGGGCGTACGGTAAGGAATATGTTTTTTGGGCAGGTCTCGCTTAACAAATCTTGGCACTTTTTTTTTTTAGTATCTCGAGAGTATGTATATAGGGGTAGGTAATTAGCGTATCGCGGGATAGTCTTAAAAGTGACATGTAATTTAGTCAGCAATTAGAAGTGGGTCTGTCAGTTACGTACAGTAACCTTACCCAGGCCAGGTATATATTCAAAATAAATCTATAGGCTCACAATCATGCACGCACGGATTCTCCATGGATGCTGAATCGGGTTAAGCAAAGGCGGCAACGCTACTGTAACTAAGCTGCACAGTTCCTGGGTGTGGCGGCAAGACTAAGCTCCCTGGACGCAACTGCAAGTAAGGTACCAGGCAACGGGCAAGACTCCGTACCTAGCTTTGATAAGGCACCTTCTTTTTCCGGTTTGCTTGCACCATGTCACGTGTGTCGCACGTCTCATTTTCCAAGAAAGATCCTCACAACCTCAGTCAATATTATCGCGTGATGCAAGGGTCTGATGAGTTCCAACAAGGTTGGAGGAAGATGGATCTGGCTGATGGGTAGAATGGCCGAATCAGCTTTTATTTCCGGTGTCTTGACGATTGTCGCATGTAACGCCTGTCGTCGCTCAGCTACCTTGGCTGCTTGGTATTGCTGTTTATTATAAGAGCTAATGCAGCATGAGAAGTCCCAAGTTGCTTGCTATACTCGTAGGGCCGCTGACTAGCCTCCAAGAAGGATATTCTGGTCCTCTACGGTGTAGAAATAAACCACCCGAAGAGCGCGTGTCCACACCTGCTACAGTAAGGCTGGAACTTGGTTCACAAAAGGACTGCTTCTTCTTCTCCAACTCGCTGCTCTTCCGTCTTTGCAACATTGCTGTGCCATTGTTCTCTCAGACCCTGTTTGAACGCTCTTTGACGACATACCGGCACCAGAAACTTCCCCCCCCGCCCTCGATATCATGTCTGAGAAGAAGGAGCCTGAGCCTGATTCTCCACCTGCAGAGTCGGTGGACTCGCGCGAGCCAGATCTACCAGCCGTCAGAGGCCAGGTACCGCACAAAGTATGGCTCGTCCAAGGCCTGTACTTCTTGGAGAGAGCAGCATACTACGGTCTTAGCCAGCTCCTCCGTGTGTGCCACCCTGTGTTTTGTGTGTGACGGCCCGCCTTTGACATCGTACTAACAGAACTCCCACAGAGAATTACCTCCAGCTCTCTCCGCATGACCCCATTCGCCCAGGAGCTCTTGGCCTGGGACAGTCACGAGCAGTGATGATTATATATATCTGGTACATATACAGCTACGCCACACCCCTGGTGGGGGCGCTGTTGGCCGACTGTTGGCTCGGCGTCGCAAAACGATCCAGATCGGATTCCTGTAGGTTTAATAGCGATCTGGCCCGATGCCTTAGACAGAAATTAATTCTTCAGAATCTACATTTTAGGGCTCAGTATCATCACTGCTACAGCTTTTACGCAGCGAATATACGGCACCGGCGGCCTCCCCGGATTCGTAGTTGGCTTGTTTCTCATCGGCGGTGGCACAGGAACCGTGAAGCCCAACATAACGGTTTTCTTAAGTACGTATTTGGGAAGAGATGGATGATTTGATCTTTAGGGTGCTGATTATCAACAGTTGACCAGTTCCCTGTGGAGGAATCCAAAATCGTGGTTTTGAAGAATGGGAAGTCAGCGATGGTGAGCCGTGAGCTCACGATTCGGTTTATATTTAACGTCAATTACTGGTATGTCTTTCTCTCGAGCTTGTCACTGGCGTGACATGCTGATAGATGTTCAAACAGGATGATAAATCTCGGAGGTTTATGTGGCATTATAACAACCAACGTAGAGAGGTATGCCTATGCCGGCTTCGGATTTGCCTTTCTTATTTGCCTTTGCCTGGCTGCCACATCTGGAGCGATCTTCCTAGCTGGATATACGAAATTCGGTGAGTAATCCGTTGCCCGTTGTGCGTCCGCCGCTTACCAATTCTTAGAATCGCTACCACCCTCGGGAAACGCCATCGCGAATCTATTCGGCGCATTGCGTCGCCGCCGGAACCCATCTCCTCCCGAGCTAGATCGGACAGAAGTTGCAGCACCATCCTCTGTTCAAGAAGACGGTCCCGCAACTCCAAGTCCAGATGCGGTCATCATAGCTGAGGCAAAGTCCGCCCTTCGAGCTTGTTTAGTCTTGTAAGATATCCCTCAACTTCAAAACAGCATTGTGGAACAACTACTTACGCCAAGCAGCCTTCCTTTCCCGGCGCTGATGCTCTCCGTCAACCTCATGGGCACTACTCTCATAGCGCAAGCAGGTACCATGCAGAACCACGGCCTCCCAAACGACATCATGTATAATCTGAATCCGATCTCCGTCATTTTCTTCTTGCCCTTTTTCCAAAGCTGGATTTATCCCACGTTGGCCAAATGGAAAATCAACTTCTCCCCCGAGCACCGCATCGGCGTAGGCGTATTCTGTGCCGCGCTTGCGATTGCATACAGCACAGGGATTCAACACCTCATATACATAACTGGTCCATGTTTCAACCATCCGCTGAAGTGCCTTCCCGGGAACATACCCAACGATATCTCCATTGGACTTCAAACCCCGACTTACGTATTTCTCGGGTGGGCAGAGATCCTTGCCATCGTGTCTGGTACCGAACTTGCTTATTCGCGAGCCCCGGCAAGTATGAAGTCGATCGTTCAGGCTCTTTTCGCCTTTTTCAGTGCCTTAGGTTCGCTGATCGGGGTCGGTGTGTCATTTGCCGCCCATGATCCCAACATGGTCATTGTATATGGATCGATCACCGGGTTGCTACTCTTTGTAACCTTTGCGTTCGAATTTGCCTATTTTATCAGAGGCAGAGGCAAAGCCTCTAACTGAAGGGGGGGTTCGATGTACCAAGAGAGTGTCAGCAAATAATTACGGCATCATTCCAAAATATTAAGAATTATGATCGCGATCTCAGTCCACATTAAGCAAGGAAGGGTGGAAGGCTTTATATAATAATAGTCAAAGGTTGTGGTAGTGAATCTCGGTCTTCCTGATGGAAAAAAAAAGACAAAGAAACGCCTAGTTGATATCCTGTTGTTCGAGTAAACACGCATTTCGTTTTTGCGTCTCATATCCTGCCTATTGCGCGCTGCCCATAACCGCCAGTCTCCTGGCTTCTCCTTACTCGCCTATTATATTCTGTTTCTACGGCCTTGTGAAACTTGGTGCTGCAGAGGCCTCTTGGATTTCTGAATTATGGTAGGACTAGCCGCCTGACAAGATCTTAACCGATTTCGCAGATCTGTATCTGATGTAGCTTCGTTCAACTATTGTTCACATCCCATGTCATCCATTAGGCTTGTTAAGGTGCTAAGTGTCAAAGCTACCTAGGTATCTAGTAATTCTTATTTTCGCGGAAACTAAGAAGACTCTGAAAGGTTATCTAGGACCCAATTCACTCCATCAACGACGATTTCCGGCTGAGTGATTTGCACGAAGTGTCCACTCTCAGTGGCGAAGACAAGCTCGCTCCTTGTGGAGAGTTTCAAGAATTCCTTCATGAGATCCTTATTCTTTGCATCGATCGTCTTGATCAACTCTCTCACATAGCTCTTCTGCTCCTCAGTCCCGTTCCCTTTAGCAACGCCCGCCTTGTACAATCCACTCCAATCCCTGCTTCGTGTACCCCCAATTACATAAACCGGCTTGTTTCCAACGAGTGGCTGCTTCTTACTCAGCTCCTTCTTCCGCAGCGTCTCAAAACTTGGTATGTAGTTCTCAACGTCCTCCTTGTGCACAATCAGCTTGTGCTTCTCAGTTGTTTTCACTGCCTTGAACGCGTCCCACTCCTCTTGCGTGAATTTGTGTTCTGCCTCCAAGCCCCAGGCAGAGTATGGGTCAACATTCGCGGCAACAGCCCAGAGAATTGGATCATTCGGGTCCATCACCAGTGGTGCTGTCTCATGGTTGGCGTCCACGAACACCAGACCAGCGATTTGGTTAGTTCCCTTTAAGGCGATGTACTCGTACATGATTACACCAGCCCAGGAGTGCCCTACGAGGATCAAAGGGTTCAGGATGGGTGCCTTGTCGATGAGAAGAGAGAGCTCCAGGGCAACGTTCTCAGCCGAGGGAGCGAGCGGCGAGGGCTCTGAATTGCGATAGCCTGAACGGTCGTACGTGTAGCTTCGCAACGACGTACCTAGCAGCCGCACCACGGCTTGCCAGTTGAGGGCATCGCTTGCCACACCCGAGATAAATACCACGACGGGTTCGTTAGAGCTGCTGGAATCTGGGCCATTAGTGTAGAGAGCCAGAGAGTGCGTGCCGATGTTGACGAGACGGCCGTTTGAAGGGAGTGTTGAGGAGGCCATTGCGAGGTGATGGGTTTGTTAATTCTTTGCGGTTTGTATTTTTTCTGATAGGTGAGATGCAAGATTTAAGACCTTTTACCAGCCTAACACTTATAGCAAATTCTGATATGAAGTGGCAGAGCTAATAGAGGGGCAGATTGAGGGAGGAGGAGGGGTAAAAAGTCTCGGAGAGGAAAGAGCCTAATAGAGTAATTGGTGGCCTCCCCCTGCCTTCTAGAACCTCCTGCCTCCAGGCACTATGACAGCTCTCGCATTCGTTCATGTATGGGGAAGTAATCCTATTGGTCAAGCGCAGGAGGAAGGGGCGCGGGATCAACATGCATCGTACTTCGTAACTTCATACTCTATGACTTGCCCGGCTCTCCAGAGCCTGCCCCACATGCACGAAGTAGTTCGTGCTCTCCGACACTTGGAAATGGTGGGCTAGCCGAGAACTAAAATATCACGTTTCGTGCTTTGGAAGAGACGGACCAAACGCTGCAGCCGGTACTGGGGTAGTCGGTATTCGCTGTTGTCGGCATATAGAGGACGGCTTTAAATGCTCTTATTGGTTTAGTGATAACGTTATATGTATAGGAAATGAGGAGTTATGCGGTCGGTTACGTATATTTGCGGGAGGCGCAGCCCTGACCGCCTAATAAATACGAAAGATCCCAGTTGTATTGCTCCGACCCCTAATCATAATCACCAAAATATCCCAATAGCCAACAAAGGAGACAATAGGGCCTGTGGAAAAGGTGAGAACAGATTGCGTATCACTAGGATTACCTGAAAAGGGATCACTTAGATCACTTCCATGGTTAGAATTTAAGGCTTAAAATATGCTAAATATGCAGATAAAATAATATCATACGATAAAGCTAATAAATGCGAAAGATCCAAGTTGTATTGCTCCAATCCCTAGCACTTAATTATTATAATCACTAGAATATCCTAATAGCTAATAAACTCTAATAATATGTCTAATGATAAATAGTTGTCTCCTTTCATTTTATAGTTAAAAGGAATTGATAATATACGTATAGCACTGCAAGCAACGTTTCTAATAGTTAGTCAACGGCTGCTTCGTCCCAGGTGTATCTATTGTGCCAAGAATTCTATAGCAGGGGGGTAAAGAATAGTGGTAAACGTACCAAAGCAAGACCCCCTTGCCCTGGTCTTCTTGACATAACAGATACGCCTGGTACGAAGTAACTTTTCGTTTAAACTTAAACTAAACTAATAAGACAAAGCCTGAACTACAGACCTTTAGGGGCTGATATCTAATAAAATCGGCACTAGCCAGTTTAGGCACTTGACCAACTAGTTAAGGAAATATAACTGGTTGGTTCGTGGTTCTTAGGAATAGTGACAACTGCAGTTGAAGTTTATCTAGTTAATTAGTTTAGTTCAGAACTTGAACTAACCATTGGAAACGTTGACTGCAAGTGACTGTTCTTATGTTATCCCTAACAATACCTTAATTATATCTTACAATTACTCCAACCTGTACCCTCACCATACTATGATGATATGTCTCGCGACTTGGCCAGTAGAAGCACTCATGGCTGCTGGACCTGTCGGCTCCGGAAGAAGAAATGTGACGAGAGCCATCCTTCGTGTTTCCGATGCACTTCTCTCCATATAGCTTGTGATGGCTATGGGCCAAGGCCTTACTGGATGGATAGGGGAAATCTGCAGAGGGAACAGGCTCGCTACTTCACACGTATCATTGCCCAGGTCAAGTCAGTTATGTGAAAGAATGAATGGCCCGGCAGAGGGCAAAACGTAGATCATGAATCTGACACTGGGTATTAGAACCATCGCCGCATCAAACCATGCTCCAGTAAAACCAACGCAAGAAACCCTCCTACGAAGTAGACTTGCGCCTGAACCCGACAACCTTCAGCTTCTCGGCATAGACAGGGATCTTGACACCTCCAACGAGCCAATAAGTAGTGAAGCACTCAACAGCGTCGATTTCTCGACGGGAACCTTCTATGATCAGATAGTTCGCATGAACTTATATAATAAGTCCCCTTCGCCTGTTTCAAATGAGACACTTGCAACGAGTATATCGCTTGTCGCTGAAGACACTAATGTGCGCGCTTCCCTCGATGTCTCGAGATCAAATTCTTCACCCGAAGCAATAAGCATAGACGCTACGGAATTGTTGTGCGACCCGATGTTGAGTCAACATCGCACCTTGTCAGATTTATCTGGATACAGCCGTGATGCTGAGTGGTCGCTTTGCGAACAAAGTGATTCGCGTTCAGGTTCAGGCTCTAGTTCCACAGATCTTGCTTCCCCGCCGGGCGGACTGGGCAATCCAATTATGCATGGAGATGTGGAAGACATCTTATTCATGTACTACCTTGATCATGTATTCTACGTGCATTGTCCCTTTTACTTTCCTTCCAGTCGGCAAGGGCGGGGTTGGCTCCTGTCAATCTTGAAGAGGGCAAACTCAGCCTATCATGCAGCTCTTGCTTTGAGCGAATATCACCACTCGACTTCAACGCAGCATGGTAACAGCACTTACCATGTCAGAACAGGAGGTGGGCACCACGATTTGGCTCTCCAAGAATTGCAAACCAATCTTGCTCGATTCTCTACATGGGGTGCAAATATGGGTCTCGCCCACATCATCGAAGTCCTGACTACCATTCTTCACCTCTTGTTCTACGAAGTATGTTGTCTTGCCCCTCTCGAGTATCATTTCCAACGCTAACGGGTCATTTATAAAAACGAACAGTCATGCACTGGCGGCAGAAACAACTGGCAGATGCATCTTGCGGGAGCGAAAGCCCTGCTTCCATTGCTAGTGCAAGCGCAGATGGGGTCAGCTACAGCAAGAAAAGATCAAACAAAAGAACAGCAGGACAGGACAGTCTCGTATCCGGAAACTTCAACCAGCTTTTTACTCGGTATCTTCATTCATGTGCACATTATCACCTGCGCTTCAACTAGATCAAGCCAATTTTTGGTATCGGACCACAGGGCATTGCTCGAAAAAGGGCATACCAACCTGTCGGATTTGATAGGCTGCAGTAACTGGGCGATAATCTCAATCTTCGATATCTGTTCCCTAGACAAGTGGAAAAAAGAAGAGGAGGATGCTCATAGACTGAGCCTCATAGAGCTAGTGAAACGTGGTGGTCAGATCGAGGAGCGCCTACTGATACAACTGGCTAGTATCGAGAACAACAACAACCACCTTTCGAAAAGGGCTCCAGTGGACGCTAATATACGTTCAGACTTCATGAAAAATGAGATTACGAGGATATTTGCTCTCTCAGCTATAACCTACCTCCATGTTGTCATCTCCGGTCCTAACCCAAACATTCCAGATATCAAGAGAAGCGTATCGAAAACGATTGACGCTCTTGGATGTTTACCAGACCCAAAATTGTTACCACAAGTGGTCTGGCCTTACTGTATCTCTGGATGCTTGGCAGCCGATGAGCAACAACAAAAGGCTTTGCGAGAGCTTGTAACCTCACCACGCATAACACACGGGGCGTGTTTAGAGGCATTGAGCCTTATGGAAAGATGCTGGCGGCTGAGGATAGCAGAATCATCCAGTCAGGATTGGGCATCCATTATGAAAAGTGGTGGCCAGGATATCCTACTCATTTGAGTGAATTTCGCTCGTCTAGCTTGAAACTAAAAGTTTGAGTAGTAGTGGAGAACTTAGAAAAAAAATAGATTTCTGGTTTAGCCGAAAAGACGGTGAAAAACTAATTAGTAAGTGAAGAATCATTGGTCAAATCCATGGTTTACTTATAAAGTCCTATGAACTGATTGGTGAGCTGTTATATTAACCAATCAGCTAGTGTATTGGTCAATTCCTAGAATTGGTGAGTAAATCATAGCAGATCTGTATTAGTCACATTGAAGAGGTGAGGTACGTGAAAAGTCAAACCATTTATTCCGCAAAGACTAAGGCTTCAACTTCAAGCTAGAGGTGGTGCAGCACAAGCGGAAATTATTAATCGGCTTCGCCGGTTTCCTATTATTCCACCGTGACAAGACTAGCTACAGCCCCATGCTGTCCCGCCCGAGAATCTCATGCAAATGTTGTGACCAGTCTGCGCGTCAAAAGTCCCCCAACAATCGCGCTTGCTCCAAGCACTACGACTTTAGCCAGGGAGATTTTCTCCAGAAGCCCACCCTCTTCAATAACGCGGCCCACCTTGTACAAAGGTCGCTTTTGTACTATGTATTTGGAAGACCCTTCAGATTCGTAGTCCCTATAGTCCACTTGCTCCATCAGCTTCTGAAATTCCAGCAGCATGCCCGGCCAAAGGTTGGTGACTAGCCCTGACTTAGTCTTGTACCAATTGTCGCATTGGGAGCTGTTCGCGGCGAAGGCTTTGAGCCGATTTTGCAGCATCATATTGTACTCTTCGGTTTTTTCCGGGCGCGGTGTCAGGCTCAGTGCTCCTCCTTGTATTCGGGCTTGCAGCACCGGATTGATCAAGCCGTTGATATATCTACTTTGGGCCTCGATTATCAGGAGGAAACTGTTATGGAGCAAGCCAGTGTTGGGTCCCATTATGATTCCAAAATTCGGCATGTCGTCGGCGCATGTGCCCAGGTAGGCCTGAGCACCGTCCTTCCACATCTCATGCAAGGCTCGACCGTTCCGGCCGAATATCTTCATTGGATGTAGGAAGTCAGTGGCTCGAAAGCCGGTTGCTAAGACGACGAGATCGTAGCCAGAGTCCGCATTCTCTACCTGCCCTGCTGTGCCAACAACACGAACAGATTGGCCATGGATGCTGTGAATTGGTCTCACCTCAAGCTCGACATTGGGAAGGTTCAGAGCTGGGAAAAAGAAATTCGTGACAACGAGCCGCTTACAGCCAACCGGATAGTTTGGTGTCAGCTTTTCCCACAGCTCGGGCTGATTGGGCAGTTGCTCGTGCATGTGGTCCAGGGCTTTCTTTTGCACCTTTTTGTTTTCCTCATGCTCGGGGAAGTTGCTAGAGACGTATTCCGTTTCGTTAAGGTCCACGTAGCGTCTGCGCCAGTACCTCTGCCAGAAAGAGAAATAGCGGTAAAGGGCTTTCCTCAAATTTGAGATCTCGTAGTCCCCACGAGGTAGGATCCAGTGAGGTGTTCTTTGGAAAACCGTCACCTTCTCCGCCACCTTTGCGAGCTCAGGTACAATCTGCACTGCACTGCAACCTGAGCGGAGACCCCAAAAAGTTAGTCATATAAGCGAAAAGAAAAAATTGCTATGATGGTGGTCGACATACCACTTCCTACAACGGCAATTCTCTTATTTTCCAAATCGTACGCCCAGTCCCATGCGGCGCTGTGCATCACCTTCCCTTTGAAACTATCCAAACCCTCGATCTCCGGCCATCTTGGTTGACTCAGCTGGCCCACAGCGCTGACAAAAAAATCACTAGATATGGTATAGTTGGAGGTAGCCTCGGCATCTTTGGAGCCTTTGGCTACCGTCACGCGCGTGTTCCACTTCTTAAGCTCGTCATCCCAGGTCGCGGATTCGGCAGTGGAACAGAACCGGATGTGTTCGTAGAGCCCGTACTCCTGCGCCACCCGGGTCAGGTAAGACAGGATTTCTTTCTGGCCCGGGAAATCTCGGCTACAATCGCTATTGGGGGCAAAGCTGTAGCTGTAGACAATGGACCGCAAGTCGACAGAGCAGCCAGGATACGTGTTCGCGTACCTATGAATCAAGCGTTGATTAGACATTTGCCTACACCAAGGATGACTGGTTGGTATTTCCCTCACCATGTCCCACCGACCCCGGAGGACTGCTCCAAAATCACAAAGTCTCGGCAGTTATTGCGTTTGATCAAATCAATGGCAACGCACATGCCTCCAATGCCGGCTCCGACGATGACTATTGAGGTATTTGTGAACTGCTGACCATTGCTCGATGAGAATTCTGGCCATGATTTTTCGAACGCCATGATTGCTCCCAGGAAAGTTAATCTAGAGTCTTTGCCAGCTTTTTGTTTTTCTTCTTATTAATAGTGCTGCGTCGTTGTCGTTCTGCTGGCTTGCGCAGGCTGGAAAGAGGCAACGCTACTCGCGCCAGCATAGGGCAGCATCCCTACCATAGGTACTTACTTATATAGGTAACAATGTAACATCATGATCTACGAAGTATCGAATGATATTTGAGAAATCGAGAAGACGTTAGAATTAAGATCCTTGGCGTGTCAGCTAGGGGTGGGCGGCAAAGCTAAAGATAAAAGAGCACATCATGGAAGGGCCGGCCCGCGCTGAATGGCGTGACGGGCCGCCTGGAGAGAGCCGCGCCGCGCCCCCGCTTGCATTTCTGCCCCGCTCCGCCCCGCCATCTTCCATCAATAGATTCTGCCGGTGCATGCTAACTAGCCCCCATACAAGGGACAAACGAGCTAAACTACAGTGGAGATGGCGTGCCCTCCAGGGCTAGATACGTACCTTAGCTTAGGTAGGGTAGGTAAGCTTACTCAAGTGTCCACGGGGGCCTAATGATGCATTGGGCCAGACCGACCCTCTGGTCATTACGGAGTAGCCTAGGGCGGGAGTTCCAGGCTTAGACGCAGACGCCGCAGCAGCCAACCCTCTGGCGATTCCATAGGATTTTCTAGCGCGGCAAAATGTATCGCTGTGAAAATCTAGGCAACTCATTGACTATAGGAGGTAGTTAGACCAAAGTATCTAGGTACTCTATGTAAAATAAATCTAATAAATTTGAAAATTTGAATAAAAATGTTTTTATATTTCTAGATACGAATTTATCAAAATTACTTATTATTTATAAGCAGTATTAAAAGAGTTGACATAAAATGTATTAATTTATAAAACTTATAAATATATTAGAGATGTTTTAAAGTTTACGGGCGGCAAAGCTAAACTAAAAGTTATTACAAACTAGTATAGCGCCAGGCAGATGGTGCAATGTATACCTAGTATGAGAATAAATTGGGTACTCCAAAAGTGTCAAAATGGATGCCAAAACACTGGACTATGTGCAACAAAGAACAGTACCCCATTGTGTGAGTCCGTATTTTATAACGCGACGCACAATTTTGAGTTCAATTCAATTTTACACTGCCCTACACATTCTCTCCACTCAAGTCGGTTGGTTCACAAGTACCTACCAAAAGGACCATAACAGCAAGCCGGAAATGGTTGGTCTACTACTCTCGTCATCGTCCAATGGCGTAACCCTTAAGAACAATGAGCTACCCTTTACAGCTAAGGGAAAACAGCAGCCGGGTGATTCTGGACAGAAGGAGGTAGTTTTGGGAGCGCAGTTGCCCGCACGTGATCTTCACACACGAGCAAAAGACAAGTCAATCGAGCATGAGATTGAGGACATAGAATGGCCTCAGAATGTCAAGCTCAATCAATTGGTTCAATCTGCGTGGGCAATACTTTTGTCTTGGTACGGGGAGGCCACCGATACTGTCTTCGATGTTGCGTTGCCAATATCAAAAATCGAACGAATTCCTGTACCCACAACCGCAACTGTTCGTATTGCGATTGAAGGAGATATGACTCTGGGTGCATTACAACACCAAATGATGTTACCGGCACTGGCAGCATCACCGATGACGACTCAAAGCATCGGCGAGCGGAGGGCTGATCTGGGCTGGCAATCCCAATCGTTGCTCATAGTGCAAGCCGCTGTCGAATTGGACGAGGCACAGGCCTTCGACGAAGGACCAGAACTGAACGCATACGCCATCACTCTTCACAGCCAAATAAAGGATAGTTCTTTACTCACGAAAATGGGTTTCGATTCGACTGCGCTCAGCGAGCGGGTCGCATCGCGAGTCGTGGATCACTTCAGGCACATATTGCGTCAGGTGACCAAGATCTGCCGTGCCGACACGGCTAGTACGAAAATCAGCGATATAGACGCGATGACTCCAGAAGACCTCGGCCAAGTCTGGAGGTGGAACGAGAATGTACCTGAAGAGGTGAACGGTTGCGTTCACTATCTATTTTCCCAAATCGTTTCTCGATATTCACATAAGACGGCCATATGCGCTTGGGATGGCGAGTTGACCTACGCTCAATGGGACACGCTCTCAACCGAATTGGCACATGGCCTCATCCACAGGGGGGTTTGTCCCGGAGATCTGCTTCCCTTAATTTTTGAAAAGTCCATGTGGGTGGCAGTCTCTCAATTTGCCGTCATGAAGGCTGGTGCGGCGTCTGTGGTCATCGATCCCTCGCAGACCGAGGCACGCATCAGGACGATAATAGACATTGCAGGGCCTGGCCTCATCCTATGTTCTCCTTCAACAGCTCCTCTGGTTTCTCGCATCACCGAAAGAAAGCCATTCGTTGTGCAAAAGGAGACTGTATCAGGTTTGCTGGAGCAAAGTCGAAATGCAGTAGGCTTCGAGACAACATTACCCGCCGTCAAGCCGAGCGACCTGCTCTATGTCGTCTTCACTTCCGGCACTACAGGTAATCCGAAGGGTGTATCAATAACACATTCAAACTTTACGTCGGCAATCAGGCATCAGAACGAGTACTTGAATTTCAAACCGACTGCGAGAGTTGCAGATTTCTGCTCGTACGCTTTTGATGTATCATGGTCCAATTTCATCCACACACTCGCGGTGGGAGCTTGCCTATGCGTACCATCAGAACAGGACAGAAAGCATGACTTCGTTGGATATATGATCAAAAATGGGGTGACATCTGTACACCTTACACCGTCGGTCGCTGCGATCCTGGACTTGGACAAAGTGCCAACGCTTGACACTGTTTTGCTCGGCGGCGAGACTATAGACTTGGATAAGATGCCATACCTTAGAAACATTGAAACCATAATCATCTTATACGGGCCGGCCGAGTGTACAGTGGATACTACAGGTATCATCATCAACGGTGGTACTACCCACGCTAGCATTGGATGGGCGATTGGATCAACTACTTGGATTGCCGACCCAAGCAAGGATGCCCTTACACCCGTCGGGTTGGTCGGAGAGCTGCTCCTAGAGGGACCACTGGTTGGAGCCGGTTATCTGAACAACGCCGAGAAGGCGGCAGCCGCCTTCATCGAGGATCCAAGCTGGTTACTACGTGGTAGTCCAGAAGTGAAGGGACGCCGCGGACGTCTTTATCGAACAGGAGACCTGGTACGCTACTCTCCTGATGGTGAACTGATTTACGTCGGGAGAAAGGATACCCAGGTCAAGATTCGCGGCCAGCGTACCGAGCTAAGCGACGTTGAACATCATATCCGTCGAGTTCTGAGCTCGATGACGGCTGTGGCAGATATTGTCGCCGAAGTCGTGACCCCAAAAGTTACCCAACGTCCAATGCTGGTAGCCTTTCTAAACATGCCTACGACAAGCACTGAACAGTTAAGGAAGAAATCTGCCTCAATTATCGAGATGCTGGATAGGGAAATGCCCGGCCAGGTGCCATCTCACATGATTCCAACTGCATATATCCCAATGACGGACCTGCCAAGGGGGTTGACGGGAAAGACGGACCGTAGAGCACTCCGTGAGATAGGTGCTGGACTGGACCGCAACGCACTTGCATATTTGTATAACTCCAATCCTGCACAGCACATCGAACCCACCACCGAAGCTGAGATGCAACTCAGGGATCTCTGGGCGTCAGTGCTCAATCATCCAGCGAGCGACATTGGGAAACACGACAGTTTCTTGCGCATTGGCGGTGATTCGATCGCAGCAATACGTCTAGCAACTTATCTCGGACGAATGGGGATGTGGTTGACGGTCCCGGATATCTACAGCCAGCCACAGCTCAGTGAGATGGCCATGCTCATGTCACAAAGTGACACACCAGCCCCGGAAGTCGTGCGACCGTTTTCCTTATTGAAAACCGAGATGGACAGGGATGAAGCGTGTCGCCGAGTAGCAGAGCTTTGCTGCGTCGGCTCTTGGCATGTGGAACCTTCACAGATTGAGGATATATTTCCCTGCACACCGCTTCAGGAGGGCCTTTTGGCCATGACCGCGAGGAGCGCTGGCAAATACGTGGGCCATCGGGTTGCTGAAATAAAGCCAGAAATCGACATAGCAAGGCTATGGGAGGCATGGCAAATAGTTTCTGAAAGATTTTCGGTACTTCGGACCCGCATCGTCGACATGCCAGGCCTGGGACTTGTACAGGCTGTCCTTGAAGAGGCATTGCAATGGCAGACCTTCTCATCTTTGAAGGACTATTATCAAAGCAGGAAGAGCGCCGACAAAGAAATGCAGAAACATCTCGTCAAAACCACAGCGGTGGGCTTGGGCATCCCTTTATCACGTGTCGCAATCATACTAGACGAAGCGGCAGGTAAGAGATATTTGGCGTTGACTCATCATCATGCGACCTACGACGGTTGGTCTATACCATTACTGCAAAAGGAGGTGGAGAAGGCGTACGGGGATGTGAGGGCAGAACTATCATCGCTTCCGATGCAAAGCTTTGTGAAATATGTCATAAGCCAACGTGGCGAAGAAGGGATGGCTTTCTGGAAGCAGCAATTTGCTGAGATAGAAGCATCGCCGTTTCTTGCCCTCCCCGCCAAGACGTACGAGCCAATGGCAGATAAGTTCATCAACCATTCGATCAAGGACATCCGCTGGCCCACGTGCGGTGTCACCCCCTCTTCCACGCTTCGTACGGCTTGGGCGACGCTCATCTCTTGGTACGTGGATTGTCCGGATGTAACATTTGGAGTTGTTGTGTCGGGCCGTCAAGCTCCTGTACCAGGGATCGAAGTCGTAGCAGGTCCTACCATCGCCACTGTCCCACTCCGAATTTTAGTCCGCGGAACAGTCGAGGAACTGCTACATGAGGTACAAGGACAAGCGATGGAGATGATTCCGTTCGAGCAGTACGGCTTACAGTATATTCGTCAGATAAGCCAGGAGGCCAGAATTGCGTGTGACTTCCAGACGCTTTTGTTGGTACATCCATCAGTCGAGGAAAGTACGGTAGAGAGCCTGGTCTTTGAAGATACTCTAAATGATCAAGCAAAGTATTCCGGCTCAGAAAACACATATGCCATGATGCTTACCTGCCAACCATCCGAGTCAAAATTGGATATGCAGCTGAGCTTTGATTCGACTATTGTCGAAGAAGAGGCTGCCGTACGGCTTCTTCAACAGCTGGAGCATATACTAGGCCAAATCGCCTCTATTGACGGCTCGAGGAACATATGCGATCTCGAAAGAGTCAGCGAGCGTGACTTGCATGACGTATGGAAATGGAATTCAGCAGTACCGCAGAGCATCGAGGACTGTGTCCACAATGTGTTTGCGCAAAGGGTCGCCGAAACTCCCGAGGCACCCGCCGTGTGTGCATGGGATGGCGAGCTGACATATGTCCAACTCGATCATTTTTCCACGTTGCTGGCGGGCCGCCTCCTCAGCTTTGGGCTCGGAGTTGGCCCAGGTGCCATCGTACCACTCTGTTTTGAGAAGTCAGTATGGGTGCCTGTCGCAATCCTTGCGGTCATGAAAGCCGGTGCTGCGTCTGTTGCTCTGGACACAACATTGCCTCGATCCCGATTGGAGGGTATTGTGACTCAACTATCAGCCAAGGTGATGTTGACCTCGAAGTCTTGTGCAAAACTTGGGGCCGATATCACCAATGCCCTAACGATGGAAGTGGGAGGCGACCCCGACAATTTCGAGCAGCTATATCAACCGATTTCCATTCCGAAAATGCCCACAGTCAGTGCATCATCTGCCCTTTATATCGTCTTCACCTCCGGAAGCACAGGCGCCCCGAAGGGGGCGATCGTTACACATACCAATTTCTGCAGCGCCATGCGACACCACCAACCACAGCTCGGGTTTGAAAGGTCATCAAGAGTGTTCGACTATACATCGTACGCCTTTGATGTTGCATGGTCAAATGTACTGCATGCACTAACCGTAGGCGCATGCCTCTGCATCCCCTCTGAGGACGAACGAACGGCCGACATCCACGGCTCCATCAATCGGCTGCAGGCAAATTTCATCCATCTTACACCGACCGTTGGACGGTTGCTTGATCCTACAGCCTTAAATGGCCTCAGTAAGGTTCTGTTCATTGGTGAGGCGCTCAAGGCTAGTGATATAGCCAAATGGGAGGCTTCCGGTGCCGAGATCTACAATACATATGGCCCTGCTGAGTGCACCGTCACGAGTACCGTTGAGAGAGTCCAAAGGGAGAGGTCAGATAGTAGAGTCAGAGACCCCAGTATCGGCAAAGGTGCTGGCGCGCTTGTTTGGGTCGTTCAACCTCGTGCGCCTGACAGGTTGGCTGCCATCGGGACCATAGGAGAGTTGTGGCTTGAGGGGCCGATTGTTGGTGCAGGCTATCTGAACAATCCCGAGAAGACAGCCAGTGCATTTGTCAAGGACCCCAAATGGCTATTGGATGGGATTCCAGGACGAGTGCCTGGTCGGCGTGGACGGCTCTACAGGACAGGTGATTTGGTCTACTATAACCCGGACGGCTCTCTTGAGTTTGCTGGGCGAAACGATACGCAGATCAAGATCAACGGCCAACGGATTGAGTTGGGAGAGGTCGAATACCACATTCGTCAACTACTTCCGAACAAGGTGGTGCCACAGATTGTGGTAGACCTGATCACTCCGGACGCTACTCGAACCCAAACTCTGGCAGTGTTCTTAGTTTTGCCCGACGATGACACCGCAAAGGTCGAGCTGAACGAGGTAACTGTCCCAATGATAGCGACCCTTCGAAAGGAGATGCCGAAATTGCTGCCCTCATACATGGTTCCCGGCGTATACATCCCCATTTCCCTTCCAAAGCTGCCTATGACAGCAACAGGGAAGACGGATAGACAAAGGCTTCGCGAACTAGGCAGAACATACATCCCACCGGCGTCTTCAATTTCAGACGCGAGTGCTTCTAATGCTATGCAAACCAAAACAGAAGAAGCCTTGAGGGATATCTGGGCTAGGGTGCTTGATGTCAAGCCTAATGTTATCGCTGCAGGTAATAGCTTCTCTGAGGTTGGGGGCGATTCGATCAAGATCATGTCACTGGCTATGGCAATACACAAGCACTTTGACATTAACATTGGGGTACCGCGATTGATCCAACAGCAGAATAGCTTACGTGAACTTGCCGCCGTAATCGACAACCTGCTACACGGCCAGTCCGTTGAGGAGCCGACACAGCCGACGTCAACTGACCTGGAGCGCGAGATAGACTTGCTGGTGAACAAGATTGGCTTTAGCCGTACCGCTACCAGGTCAACGGTCTTTCTCACCGGCTCAACCGGGTTCCTGGGAACCCAGATTCTCCACTACACACTCACAAAGCGTATATTCGACAGGGTCGTGCTACTTGTACGGAGTCTTGACGCACAGAAGGGGCTGGACAGGGTAATGAAGACGGCCAAGATCGCTGGGTGGTGGATGGAATCATTTACTTCTGCAATCGAAGTCTGGGATGGAGACCTCTCGGCCGAAAGACTGGGGCTGAACAATTCACAATGGAGTGCGTTGTGCGGCCGTCCGAGCGCACATGGAACTATCGATGCCATCATCCACAACGGTGCCAGAGTGCATTGGACCACGAACTACGACGGGTTAAAAGACGCGAACGTTGGTTCTACTATGCAGCTTCTGCAGGCCGCAGTGGCCTCCCCTTTCCTGAAGAGCTTTGTGTACGTCTCAGGTGGTCTCATTACAGATAACCAAACCTGGACCGAGGAGGAGGCAAGGAGAGCCAAAGGATACGACCAAACAAAATACGTGTCGGAAAGACTTGTGAGCGCTGCTGCCACGCAGTTTCACAAACCACGCACGACCTTCACTGTCATCAAACCGGGGCGGATCATCGGGGACGTATACACAGGTGTAGCAAATGCCGACGACTTCCTATGGAGGCTTGTGATGGGCACAGTCCGGCTCGGAGCCCGCCCAGTTGACTCAGAGACAGCTTGGCTCTCAGTGTCAGATGTTCGTCACGTCACAGAGTCCATTCTATGGCACGCGGCAGGAAAGAGTCGCGAACATTTCGTCAACATCAAGAGGGGAGTATGGGTCAGTGCCTTCTGGACTGCCGTCGAGGATCAATTACAGATGCAGCTGCGGCCGGTCTCGTGGGGCGAGTGGATTGAGCTTGCTAGGCAAGACATGGCGCGGGAGCAAGAACTGCATCCACTATGGCCGGTTCAGCAGTTTTTGGGCGCTCTCGGTTCCGATGTCAAAGTCTGCGATCATGAGAGCTACGAGGGGGAAATGCGAGAGGTGCTCGCAGCTGCGCGACAGAACATTGAGTATCTTCGAGGCCAGGGTTTCCTGGAAGCCACCGGTGGAAAGCAGATCAATGGCAAGGTAATTTCGAGAACCCGAAATGTACGTACGACGGGTCCGACAGCTGTGAGCATCTGATACAGAGTGTTGTTCAAGGACCGCCTATAGGATAATAGGGATTTACGAGTTTATGAACTGCTAGTTGTCAAATATCCACGTATAATATGTGAGTAAATGTTATGCATGGAGTTGTTCAAATTGATAATAATCACTCGCTTTTTAACGCAATGGATACCACGACAGGCAACGCAATACTAGAAACGAAATGTAAGGATCAGATGATAGGGAACCACAATTTAGAGAGTAAGACGGTATAATAGTCGGTCATCCTTCTTAGCTCGCTTCGCTCACAGTCGGGGAAAGCGAATGTCCCGTGCAAGCGAATGTCCCACGCTAAAATCTATACCAAAATCGTAATAATTCAGGTCTAAAACTATAGGTTGAAAGTATAATAACTCTATTACACTTTAGATGCATTATAAAAAAAAATTATATAAGGTATCTCTATATATATATCTAGAGATATAAGTATATTTAAAAAAAACTTTTCCGATTTTCACGAATTCACCTATAACTTTTGCTATAACCGTCTAAATCGAACGATCGCGCTAGCATATTAACCGCCTTAATCTCAGCTTTCTTTTAAGCCTACCCTTATAGTTCTTACTAGGAAAATAAGTGAATGCGGGTTATCTAAAGGGTTTTTAACCCTAAAGGCCTCTTAACTGCCTCCCTCCCTCTCCTTCTTACCCCCCGCCCTCCCACTCCTATAGTCTATAGCGGCAGAAGATAATAATATAATAATAGATACTATAT